CTCTATCTCTCTATTTCTCTCTTTCTCTATCTCTTTCTCCTTCGCTTCCCGACTCTCACGTCTTGTCTCCGTTTCTCTCTCTCCCCCCCCCCCCCCCCATGCGCTTTCTCTCCCCCCTCTCTATAACTATTCACCCTTCCTACTCTTTTCCTCATAGTATTTTCTTCTGTCTCATTCCTTATCTACCTTGGCTATCTCAAACGTCTCTCTCTCTCTCTTTCTTTCTCTGTCTCTCTCTCTGTCTCTCTCTCTGTCTCTCTCTTCCTTTTTTTTGGTTATTATTGCATCTCTTTTGTAGTCAATAAAGGAATGGAGGTATTCTAATTTCTAATATTTTGACATCAACAAGCGTTTGTTACAAAAATTGCAGTTTGTAAAATTATCTATATTATTGATTTGTTAAATGTTATTATTTCTAAACAGTCACGGAGGAACGAACGCCGACATGGTACCTGGATCTACGGCTGATGATCTATCATTTCAATCTATCTTATTTTCCTAAATCATTGTTTATCTGGCTCTGAACTGTGACAGAATATAGAATGTGGCGTATTTACGTTGTGGTAAAGTCATGAGAGTTGGTGGTACTTTATAAATGACAAAGAATGTACATACAATACCCACATTAAGCATACTTTTCATTTCGAAGCTAAATTTGATCAGAACGAAAAAATATTTTGTCGTAGTTTACATGTTAGTACAGTGGCATAGCGTGGGGCCAGCTACATTAGGGGGTCCACGAATAATGGGAGGAGGGGCGGCGTCTGTGAAGTTGGATGAAATGCATAATTATGGACCACCGATTATGGAAAGGTAGGGCGCAGGGGTGGCCTCGTTTCCTCTCCTTTTCCCGCCACGCCTTTGTAAGCCAATGTTTCTACGCCCTGGTATAAATTCATTGCTAGGGAAGAATGCTGTCACGGGTTGCACATACGAAGTGGGTGTGGCTTCATCGAATATATGCAGGGTTACTTAAAATAGGGGGATACGTCACAGTTTCAAAATGATCATCATAATTATCACAATATTTAGGGAAGTATTAGGTCAGCGATTTGTTACGACAAGTCTAGGATCTGTAAAAACTAGTCCCCATTTTGTAGAAGAATGCAACAAAAGTTTTGTCACAATCTTTGCAAATTAATTTCACATATTTTATTCATATACAAAATAAATGGTCATTAATCTTATCGGATCTCAATGTCACTTCTTGAAAGAAGAAGGGGTGTGATAATTAATTGTTCTGTCTACAAGTAATCTGGCGATTTCACGATTTCACAACTCTTAAGTTACACTATTTTCCCCATCTTTTGGATTTGTTTAAAAACAACAATCTATGACACATCGACGCTTTCGGTGACAAGCAAATCATAATCTAGTCACGCGGATTCTTTGAGTGACCAAGAAGTTTCAATCTAATCACGTGGAGTCTTTGAGTGACCAGGGAGTTACAGCGTAATCACGTGGAGTCTTTGAGTGACCAGGGAGTTACAGCGTAATCTCGCGGAGTCTTTGAGAGACCAGGAAGTTACAGTCTCAGACGCACCCGTTTCTAGGTGACCAGGGAGTCACAGTCTAATCACGTAGAGTCTTTGAGTGACCAGGGAGTTACATTCTTAGTCGCACCCGTTTCTAGGTGACCAGGGAGTCACAGTCTAATCACGTAGAGTCTTTGAGTTACCAGGGAGTCACAGTCTAATCACGTAGAGTCTTTGAATGACCAGGGAGTCACAGTCTAATCTCGCGGAGTCTTTGAGTAACCAGGGAGTTACAGTCTTAGTCGCACCCGTTTCTAGGTGACCAGGTAGTCACAGTCTAATCACGTAGAGTCTTTGAGTGACCAGGGAGTCACAGTCTAATCTCGCGGAGTCTTTGAGTGACATAGGAGTTACAGTCTCAGTCGCACCCGTTTCTAGGTGACCAGGGAGTCACATTCTAATCACGTAGAGTCTTTGAGTGACCAGGGAGTCACATTCTAATCACGCAGAGTCTTTGATTGACCGGGGAGTTACAGTTGTAGTCGCACCCGTTTCTAGGTGACCAGGGAGTCACAGTCTAATCACGTAGAGTCTTTGAGTGACCAGGGAGTTACAGTTGTAGTCGCACCCGTTTCTAGGTGACCAGGGAGTCACAGTCTAATCACGTAGAGTCTTTGAGTGACCAGGGAGTCACATTCTAATCACGCAGAGTCTTTGATTGACCAGGGAGTTACAGTTGTAGTCGCACCCGTTTCTAGGTGACCAGGGAGTCACAGTCTAATCACGTAGAGTCTTTGAGTGACCAGGGAGTTACAGTTGTAGTCGCACCCGTTTCTAGGTGACCAGGGAGTCACAGTCTAATCACGTAGAGTCTTTGAGTGACCAGGGAGTTACAATTGTAGTCGCACCCGTTTCTAGGTGACCAAGGAGTCACAGTCTAATCACGTAGAGTCTTTGAGTGACCAGGGAGTCACAGTCTAATCACGTTGAGTCTTTGAATAACCAGGGAGTCACAGTCTAATCTCGCGGAGTCTTTGAGTAACCAGGGAGTTACAGTCTTAGTCGCACCCGTTCTAGGTGACCAGGGAGTCACGGTCAAATCACGTAGAGCCTTTGAATGACCAGGGAGTCACAGTCTAATCTCGCGGAGTCTTTCAGTGACCTAGGAGTAACAGTCTCAGTCGCACCCGTTTCTAGGTGACCAGGGAGTCACAGTCTAATCACGCAGAATCTTTGAGTGACCAGGGAGTCACAGTCTAATCACGTGGAGTCTTTGAGTGACCAAGGAGTTACAATCTAATCACGCCAGGCGCGTAGCCGGGGGGGGGGGGGCGGTGGGGGCGGTCGCCCCCCCCCCAAAAAAAAAGAGATAGAAAGAGAAGAAAAAAGTAAGAGGACGTAGGAAGAAAAAGGGAAAAGGAGTCGAGAACGGTACAACGAATCGTCTTCTTTCTCTAATATTTCAATGAAACGTGAAAGCTTCCGTGCTTCGCGCAGGAGGAGGGAGGAGGGGGGGGGGGGGGGACTGAATTCAGACAAGGATTAAGAAGTCGAGAACGGTACTTTTAGTCGTCTTCTTTCTCTAATGATTTAATGAAACTTCAAAGTTTCGCGCGAGAGGGGAGGGGGGGGGGAACAGAATTCAGACAAGGATTAAGAGTCGAGAACGGTACTTTTAGTCGTCTTCTTTCTCTAATGATTTAATGAAACTTCAAAGTTTCGCGCGAGAGGGGAGGGGGGGGGGGGGAACAGAATTCAGACAAGGATTAAGAGTCGAGAAAGGTACAACGAATCGTCTTCTTTCTCTAATAATTTAATGAAACGTGAAAGCTTCCGTGCTTCGCGCAGGAGGAGGGAGGAGGGGGGGGGGGGACTGAATTCAGACAAGGATTAAGAAGTCGAGAACGGTACTTTTAGTCGTCTTCTTTCTCTAATGATTTAATGAAACTTCAAAGTTTCGCGCGAGAGGGGAGGGGGGGGGGAACAGAATTCAGACAAGGATTAAGAGTCGAGAAAGGTACAACGAATCGTCTTCTTTCTCTAATAATTTAATGAAACGTGAAAGCTTCCGTGCTTCGCGCAGGAGGAGGGAGGAGGGGGGGGGGGGGGGACTGAATTCAGACAAGGATTAAGAAGTCGAGAACGGTACTTTTAGTCGTCTTCTTTCTCTAATGATTTAATGAAACTTCAAAGTTTCGCGCGAGAGGGGAGGGGGGGGGAACAGAATTCAGACAAGGATTAAGAGTCGAGAACGGTACATCGAATCGTCTTCTTTCTCTAATAATTTAATGAAACGTCAAAGCTTCCGCGCTTCGCGCGGAAAGGGGGAAACTGAGTTCAAATTAAGGATTAGGAGTCGGAAAAGGTACAACGAATCGTCTTCTTTGTCTAATAATACGTCAAAGCTTCCGTGCTTCGCGCAGGAGGAGGGAGGAGGGGGAGGGGGGGGGATTGAATTCAGACAAGGATTAAGAAGTCGAGAACGGTACTTTTAGTCGTCTTCTTTCTCTAATGATTTAATGAAACTTCAAAGTTTCGCGCGAGAGGGGGGGGGGGGAGGAACAGAATTCAGACAAGGATTAAGAGTCGAGAACGGTACATCGAATCGTCTTCTTTCTCTAATAAATTAATGCAACGTCAAAGCTTCCGCGCTTCGCGCGGGAGGGGGACTGAATACAGATAAGGATTAAGAGTCGAGAAAGGTACAACGAATCGTCTTCTTTGTCTAATAATATGTCAAAGCTTCCGTGCTTCGCGCAGGAGGGGCGGACTGAATTCAGACAAGGATTAGGAGTCGAGAAAGGTACAACGAATCGTCTTCTTTCAAAGCTTTCGCGCTTCGCACGGGAGAGGGGAAACTCCCCCCTCCCTGCACCCATCCCCCTAAAGAGCGCGCTATGCGCGCTCTTTAAGTGATTCGCACACTTCGCGTGCTCACTACCGCCCCCTAAAATAAAATCCTGGCTACGTGCTTGAATCACGCGGAGTCTTTGAGTGACCAGGGAGTAACATTCTTAGTCGTATCTGGTCTCTAGCTGACCAGGGAGTCACAGTCTAACCACATGGAGTTGAGTAACCAGGGAGTCGCAGTCTAATCACGCGGAGTCTTTGAGTCACCAGGGAATCACAGTCTTAGTCTTATCGGTTGTCCGACTGACCAGGGAATCACATCAAGTCCTGTTAGGTCTCTGAGTGACTGAGGAGATAAAGAAACAAGTAAGACAATACAGAATAATTTGATACAAGATGCAAGATAAAACACAGTAAGCGGTAGGCTGCAGAAGGATTGAATATGATATTTGTTTTATTATATTGTGAGGTCACGACACACTTGTGATTATATCTCGATTCACGATGAGGAACAGCAACAGTACGAATCAAACCCTTTTGCTACAAGAGAGCCTTTTGTATAAACATTCTAAAGAAGCCATTCACATTGATTGGTCTGATAACCCGCCATTTATTCTGATCTATAAATCAATATAGTACGATATTCGGTGTTACGTCATGACAAAGGGCTATCGTATCGCATATTTCAAATTTTGAAATTGCGTCCTTAAATTGAGTTAATTCAAAAGATCAATATGTAATGTTAGCACATTTAAAAATGTGGATAGGTTTATATCAAAGACATGTGTTAGACATAAATGAAACTCAAAAGCAGCTATACGGCGGCCAATTCTAGAGAAGGATTAGGACAGAGAGAGGAAGAGAGAGAGAGAGAGAGAGAGAGGAGTTTGTGAAAGAAAGAAAACAAAAGAGAGACGTATTACCAACTATCAAAATTAAGAGTCTGCACAAAAAATATAGCAAATATATATCGGTTTGCGTTTCTTAACACTTCAAAATATATAAAAGTTTCTACTTTGAATAATATGCTAAGAAAGAAGTTTGTTGTAAAGCCATACAATGCATTAAAATGATTTATTTTCCTATTGCTTTGTACACGATAGCACTTCATACCTCTATTTTCATAGAAACACTAACCGAGCAACATCCTAAATTTGTTGATTTAAACTTTGAGTATTTGAATCAGACATGCTCGACGTTCATTGCCCAATCTACTTGTTCACACAAAATTAACTGAACTTCAAGAATAGGCCCTTATACTTTAACACACGGAATCATATAAAAGGTTCTTACTAATCAATACAGTCACAGTCATTACACATTGACATAGAGTAACATTATAATTGGATGTGGGATCATAAATATGACAACAAACGGAGATTGTGGCTAATCATAAGTATGTGGAAAGATGAATAGCGCCAGCTTTCGTCCTTAGGCAGGGCAGTCTGTTTCATCATTGGCGCAGTCGAGGATGCCATCGCATCTGAACAAAGATGGGATGCATTTATCATCACTGCAGGCGAAACCCTTGCAGGCTGTAAGGGATTCAAAAAGATATATAAATAAATTGTGGCGATATTAAAGCCTATCTGCACTACTTTGGCCAGGAGGGATTACACCTCCCCGAATGGTCACTGAACAGCTCTCGATTAAGTAAAAGGGGACCATGGGGGACCAACGGTCACCGATTAGGCATTGTTTGTTATACAGAGGGCGCAAGTAGCTATATGTAGTGCAGTGGGGCTTTAAAGGATAAAGTTGAGACCTGGGCCTTGTTCAATAAACTTGTTAATAATAACAAATGATAAATTTCTATGACTCTCTGTCAATCAAATGCCACGATTTCAGTAGCTTATAGCAGTTGTTGTTTATAAAAAGTTTAATAAAAAAAGGACCCAGATCCTGCAATTGGAGTGTGAAAGAAATCGTCTAGAAGCACTAGTTTGGCCAGGAGGGATTAGACCTCCCTGTATGGTCATTAACAGGTGGTTATCTCATCAAATCAGCTCTCAATTGATCTAAGTAAAAGGGGACCATGGGGGACCAACGGTCACCGATTAAGCATTGTTTGCTATATAGAGGGCGCAAGTAGATGTAAGTGGTGCAACGGGGATTTAAAGGAAAAAGTTGAGTCCTGGGCCCTGTTCAACATTTTTTTTATCAATATCAAATGATAAATTTCTATTACGAATTTGCTCTTTGTCAATCAAATGCCAAGATTTCAGTAGCTCATAACAGTTAATATAACTTGTTGTTGATAACAAAAACATATTATGAAACAGGGCCCATGTAATTCAAATAGAGTGTGAAAGAAACCGTCTAGAAGCGACTGGAAACATTGAGGTTGATTATGTTTTTCTTAAGAATGTGTGCGGACTGTGAAGTTTTCAGTTGTCATGGTTTTGGAATGATCAAATTTAAAACAAAATTACTCGGTCATGCTTGGGATCATACACAATTACACACACATAAATAGGTATATTGGACTACAGACAAATGTTTGGTCCTATGTTTCGTTCATGGCCCTATTATAAAGAGTATTTTAAGAGCAATCCTTTTCAATAGACTGCTATAACTAGCACACACACCAAAGATAAAGCTCAGATGAAATCCTGATCTCGACTGTCTCTTCGACATGCATGAACACACTAAAACACCTCCCCCACAAGGACACGTCAAATGAACGAACGAACCAATCAACAAACAAACAAACAAACAAACATAGATCCTTCAAAAATAAGAACCATGAGGACCAATCATATCCCCTCTAAAATTTTGAAATGAAGTAAAAGTAACTTGCAGAAGAAGTTGCGCATTTTTTACATTATTATGATATAATATACTTTTCTATAACACTCTACTTTGTGCCTAAAATAGTAAAGACGACTGTGTAAACCAAGCCTAGTACTATTTCAATTAAAATCTGAGTTGATGCGTTTACACTTACGGCAGTTGAGCTCGTCTGCCCCATCGTCACAGTCGTTTGTTCCGTCGCATCGCCACTCCCACTTAACACAGCCTAGGTCACGGCTAACACACGGGAAGCAGGCTGACTGCTCGGTGTTAGTGTCAGTGTTGGTGTTTGCTCCGGCGTAAGCGGCAGACTCTCCGACTAGAGTGGTCTCTGAGGATTAAGAATGCGAGATGAGGGAGGGGCAGAGAGAGAGAGAGAGGAATAACACCAACAAAAGTCAGGGAGGGAGAGCGAAAGAGAGAGAGAGAGAGAGAGAGAGAGAAGAATAACCGAAACAAAAAGGGAGGACAGGGGTGAGGGAGGGGGGGGGGGGGGGGTAGAGAGAAATTGAAAGCGAAAGAGAAAATGAAAGACATAGATAGAGGTAGAGAGAATGATAACAGAGGGAAAAGAACAAACAGAGAAAGATAGAAAGAGCGAGAGAAAGAGGAAAAAAGGGAGAAGGGGTAGAAGTAGGAGGGATCGGGGAAGAAAAGGGGGAGAAAGAGAAAAATAAAGATCGAGAGAAATGGAGGGAGAGAATGAGAACGAGTTGGAAAATAATATGGGAAAGAAAGTGAATAAGAGATAGATATAAAGATAAAGAGAGATATTGTGATCAAAATTAAAACGGAAAGCGGAAAGTGGGTGGGATGTTTTTTTTATCAAGTTATTTCAAATATAGTGTTCCAATTTATTTATGTTTGTGGGGGTGGGGTGACATAACGAGGGGGCGGCTCAATATAATGTACTTTCTGTCACTTCCTTTGTAGGACGGATGTGTGAACTTAATACTCTCGCAGGTGGTATCATGAAAGAGGGCAAAGATAGATTGGAAGCCTTCGATCGGGGCTGTATACAGGAAATTAAACAACCACCACAAGACCTTGCGTCTGAGGTGAAATCAGTCTTGAACTTATACACAAAAATACACTGGACTTCATGAAAGTTTAATAAAATATTGTACAATACCTGATACCTTTGCCATACCCGATTATTGTATGAAAAGGGGAACGCCACTATGTCCTGAAGTCTAAAATGTAGGATTATGGTGTTTTAATGGTACGCAAAGTTTAGGCAATGAAAGTAGTTCCGGAATTGGTAATTATTGATTAAGCTATAAAGATAAAGAAACATAATATAGAAGCAATAGCTGGCTATCTCCATCACTGAAAAAAAAATCCCACCATTTCCTAATTATCTCCCATTAATATAAATGCGCCAGACGTGGGATTGTTTTTATACAGTAATATGAAAGCAACGAAAACTATAGATTTGAACTCAAGTAGTGTGAGTCGGCAATCTAATCTCGGAATTTCGACCCTAAATTGAAGGATAAAATTGGAAGTATAAACGGAAAAGGAAACGATCTGTTACCCTGCCTTTTTAAGATTACTGAACCGTTCTGTCTGGAATAACCATCAACAAATTCATCTTGATATTGCTTTCAGGATATGTATTCTTAAAGATTGTTCGAAACCAAAGAGGTAATATGATCCTGATGGTAGTGACTTTAAAATTGTGAAAGAGCGTAGGGGTAATACAGAGGCGGGAAGGGCTTTAGCGAGACGGTAAGGGGGTGGGGGGCATTAATCGTGGTAGCTTGAAACGACTTCTATAGTTTTATCTGAATATTAAGGCTAAAAGGCACTAACTTTATAACATTTCAAGATCACAACTTCGATTACTCGATGCAAGTTGTGTAGTAGCACATTTTCTAACTCTTGTAGCCGTTTCATTATTTTGTATTTTTCTACTGTAATTACCTATGTAAAAACCAGATATTCGAGTGATTGGATCCTTTCATTATTTCTCTTATTTTGTATGGACTCATAATGACAATGAAATGCTATACTAATATTGTCTATACAATAATGTGCTACATTCTATACTATACTTTATTTATTATCATACTTTGCCGTATTTCGCGAAATAATGAATGTTGGTATATCATGTTCTTTCTAACACCAGCGCATATGTCGTTGACCCTATGTGTTCATTGGAGACGAGAGACCATCACCGCCCCATATCCCTGATATTAGCAAAGCACTTTTCTTGACAATCGCAACTATTTTCCCGTTTTATATCGCTAACCCTCATCACAAGGTCTTAGTATGAATCTATCCTGAAAGTTGACGGCCGTCCAATTTGAGGTGACAATTAATCTCCCGTTGCCGTGGCAACTGTTTATCATCTGAGATTGTAAAGGGGTGAAAGTAGAAATGATTGGGATCCTGTGGGCTACAATGAATGGACTATAATCATCACAAAGACCAGTATATTTTTAATCTACGCGATTGTGGACCGGCGTTTTTCGATTGATTACAAATGAATACAAAGGCTTGTAGAGAATAAAGTATTCCTACAGCGGATATGTCTCATGATGAAAACAAATGATGGTTTTAAACTGGACAATATCGAGTCTCGCATTAAACAAATAAACTTCAGTTGGCGCCGGATTTAAATACGCATGTCAATTCTTATTTTACTGAATATCACGTCATTTTCATATTCTGCAACTGCTTCTCTTCTACCATTACTGCTATTACTATTACTACTCCTTCCAGCCTGACTACCACTGCTACCCGTCCTCCTCCTACTATTATTATTGTTATTATTACTACTACTGCTACTACTACTACTACTACTATTACTACGACTTCTACTACCACTGCTACCCCTCCTCCTTCTCCTACTATTATTATTATTATTATTACTACTACTACTACTACTACTACTACTACTACTACTACTACTACTACGACTACTACTGCTACTACTATTATACTACTACTACTACTACTACTACTACTACTACTACTACTACAACTATTACTCCTCCTCCTCCTAATACTACTACTACTACATCTACTGCTACTCCCCTACTACTTCTACTACGACCGTTAATCCTGGTACTATTTCTACTCGTGGGCAAAGGGTTGTTAGTACGACAATTGCTTTTGTGAAAATGGCTTGACATTATATTATGCACTTTTGACTATGAGGTTATGAATATACACACTTTGTTTGAATATTCATATGTTCGAGTTCGTTGGAGATTGTAAATGGAGTCAACCTTGGTCCTAGGTAATTGATATGTCTTGCTTTCCTACGCTATATACATGAATGTGCTTTCATGATTTGATGTGTTAGGTAGGAGATAATGGATGTTTTAGTGGTCACTCTGAATCGCCCCAACTTGTACCAACAGTGAGCAAGGGGGAGATTTAAACAAACAAGAGAAGGAAAGTAGCTCTGGATCTGGACTGAAGAATGAGTGACTCACCCATAACGGCGCTGATACGGACAGTGAAGTCCACCTTTTCTCCCTTCGGATGAGCAATTAAGAGCCAAGCCACGTTGCTTTCAGTCGAGTACACATGCGTGCCGGTCGGCGTATCGGTCGATCCCGGTGCGATGCGGGCAGTCTGGGTAGAAACCGTCGTGGGATCATCGCCCGAACCAGAGGCGATGTAAGAACGACCCGCTCGCTTGGTGTTAGACGTGAAGGTGATCTCGATAAAATCGAAGCTGATCTCGGTGCCGTGAGGGCCAGTGAAGCGGTAGAGGGAGAACCATGTGTTGGTGCTAGCTACCTTGATTGGTTGGTTATCACTGGCATGTATTAAGATGGGATCGTCAATACTCAAGATATATGAGGCTAGAATGGAAGAGTGAAACAGAAAAGGAAATAATAATATTTAATATTAATATTTTCATATTGTGTTGGTTATTTTTACCTGACTGCTAGAAGGCATAAATGCTTGTTAGTAAGCAACAGGACGGCCGACGGCTTTAGGTCCTCTCCGAGGGACCTGGTAATGAGGATTAATGCCTTACCAAAGGGCATTAGCGCATCGACTTGGTTTCGAACCCGGGTCACCGGATTACGAGACCACTGCTCTATCGACTTAGCTATCGCGCCTCCACAATTATTAACATAGTTTGATTACAAGTCTGTAAGATGTAAACGAAAGATTAGGGGCGTGGAGCCCGATAATCATAGAGAGTACTAAGGTCTTGAAGAGTGGGAGGGGTCATATGACCAGAATGAGAACACATAATTAAAATGAAACTGACAGAAAGTAAACAAATAAAAAAAAGGACGAATAAGATGCTCAATGATGAAGATGTCTTGGAGTTCCGATCGGTGCAAATGGTGGTTGACTCTTTGTCAACCCTTCTTTATGAGGTACCGACACAAATTAGACCAGAAGGCGATAAGTCCAAGGAGTTAGAGATGAGGAAGTGAAGGGAGAGGGGTTTGGGTAGATTGTGTTTTAAGAAAAACTCATAATTTCAATTCTCTATAATAATGTTTTTGAGAAATATGAAACTTATTTTTGTTTAAACTATTCATTCTATTTCTGTATTAAAAAAAAACGATGCTTGTTCTAGTTTTTGGGATGAAACAAGTACGGTAATTATTTCTTATCATGTGATTGTGATTTCTTTTAGTCCTATGCATTTTGAAATTCTGAACAATAAACTTTGTTGTATTTATGTTGGTTTATCGAATGATTTGAAAAAGCTTTGTTATAATTATGTTGCAGTTTTGTATAAATTATGTTGTGTACGAAATAGAATTGGAGTTTTGAGAAATAAATATATGAATAAACAAAATTCCAAATGGAATCGTGCATTCTCAAATCGATGTCAACTCGTTTCTCCGACTTTCACATCGAAATGGAATGTCACGGGCTCAACGCATCGGTGTGACCTAACCATGATTTATATCATCATCTCTGTCTCTCCTACTTTTTGATTTAATATCCCGTCATAAAAAAAAAAAATCCCGTCTCTGCTTAGATTTAAATTTAATTCCACAGTTATCTTTACTTCGAAGCTTTAGATATCTTGCATGCTCAAAGCCTATTATAATGTTGTAAGGCACACCACGAAGGGCAAACCATCAAATTAAATTGACTTTTAAGCGGGTACAACATTATATGACTCAATGCCGCGTTAATTTCTCCGTTGATTAATTCGTTAAAGGTACTTAATTTCTTCTTTATGTCAACATAAAATGATAATTGATGTTAGACATGGGCTATATTGCGATCTTCGGCACCGTATGACAAGAGGATGTGATGCCATTAACGTTTCCTTTTATGGTTCGTGCAGGATATTACGTAACATTTAAGGTAACTCATTATAGTTATCCGTTAACTTATACTGGATAATTTCCTTCGCGCTAGAACCATTCAATAGAACAGTAATGTTAATCAATGGTTGTTATTAATGAGGAGTGAAGTAAATTCGACCAAACGGTAGCTTTTCTGCTCATTCAGTTTTATTAGCAAAAAAGGCAGTCTCATTATTCTTAGCTCAGTGGCTGCCTGTACAGCGTAGCGTGGTTCGACCTTTGGAAAGTAATCAAAAGGTCTTCTTTTAATGTCCCTTCCCGCCCTCTCTCTCTCTTTGAATTTCTTTTTAGCTCAATGCGAAGAGGGGATGGTTGCTGCTTTTAGAGGGGCGATTTTATTTTATAGCCCAAAAGGGGAATCTGGTATAAAGAAGCATGTTATCAAAACTATATAATGGTTATAGAAGAAGAAGAAAATGATGGAAAAAAAAAAAAAAGAAGAAGAAGAAGAAGAAGAAGAAGAAGAAGAAGAAGAAGGAGAATAAGAAGAAGAAGAAGAAGAAGAAGAAGAGAAAAAAGATGTACAACGACGACGACAACAACAAGATGATGAAGAAGAAGAAAAAGAAAAGAAAGAAGGAGAAGAAATAAAAAAAAAACAAGAAAAGTAAAGTGGGGACTGAGCGGACAGGAAAAAAGATACACTATTGATCCCATTTTTGTTATAAACTAAACATATTTCCAGGCCTTGGAAACCCAAAGTAAGACAGTCAGAAAGTCTCCCCTACAACTAACCCCATCATACATATGCACAGGTCATTATCCTTTGACCAAAGAACATTCTCTTCCTCTGACCAAATATTACCAGGCGTAGAAACACCTGTTCCGTACCCCCAATCAAGCTCCTAGGTATACAGCTTAATGGATTTATGTCTCCCTAGCCCTCTGGTGGAAATCCCCTTACCACTGGAGTACCCAGGCAATCTTTGCTAATTGATGAGGGGCAGAGCGTAACGTAGAGGTGCACAGTTATCTATCAGAAAATTTCTCTTCTGTTTTGGGGGCAATTGCAGGTAAGCATTGATTAGTTTGATAATATATCACATTTGTCATTGAGCTTGGTAATCTCCGCCCCCTCTAATTTCGTAGAGCCCCCTTTCCCTTTTTACCTAATGAACAAGCATCTTGCAAGTTAGATATTGGATAAAAACCTATTCCTTTCATGATTTTTTTTGCACTCGATGAAATGTCACCCCCGCGAAGTTTACTTTAAGGCGCCGAAAGTCTTTGTACAAATGAAAAGGACAATGCAATGATGCAACTTGTGTGGTGGATATGTGAGTTATAACAAATTATATCTGTATCGTACAAATAGCGCCAAAGTATTTATCACTTATGTGTGAAAAATGGCGCCAGGTCATTTTACATCGGTGTTTATAAAATGTCGCAATAGGGTTTTATACGAGAAATACAAGTTAACGAGACATTGTGCAAAAATAAGACATTCTTGTTTTCCACATACTAGCTCTTTTTCTCATTTACGCTCTCTCTATCTCTCAATATTTGTTTTCTCCTACTGATGTTTTGGTTCCTTCCCCATTCAAAGTTTTCTTCTTAAGTTCTGATTCCCTTTATCTTCTTCTTCTTCTTCTTCTTCTTCTTCTTCTTCTTCTTCTGCTTTTCCCTCTCCCTCTCAATATCTTTTCTTCTTCAGTCATAATGTGTGTATCTTTCCCTTCCTTTGATTTCATAGCTCTCGTATTCTCGTCCCCTTCTTCCTTTCTTTCTTTCTTTCTTTTCACCTGAAACCCTAATCACACCAACAAGACCGATACCAGACCTACATCAGGCCGATCAACAAATTACCTTACCAGACATGGCAACGAGTCGGTCGGTTTGGGGTCGGTGTGAAGTCGGTTTGGCAGTGTGACCGGGGCATTACGGCCTTGTAGTCCTATTCGTTTTTATCTTCTTTGATACATTATGAGCGCCATCCCCAGCTCTTCCCTATGCCAACCCACCTTTGAAATTTCACTGGATCTCCAAACCCTTCCTTTCTTTTCAATTCAACCTGCAATTAATCAAACCCTTACTGTATTATACCATAATATATAGGTCAAGAGTTCCCGATAGAATCAGATAGTCACTAGAAAGATTACCTTAAATCGTGGCACATTGCCTCAAGCCCCATGCATAGTGTCCCCAGATTTATCACAATAATTATTTATCAATGGTCCCGCTCAGTTTCCCAGCTTATGTGGATACATGCCCACTTTTAATCACATATATGATATTCCCGAGGGCCTAGCAGCTACATAGGACCACACAATTGAATAATGGTAACTTCGTTACATAAAGCATAAGCATAAACATATGAATCGTATTGATATCACTGGTCATACTAGAAACAATCTACGAACAGTAAAAATGACAAATATAATTTGTGTATGTTCGAGAAAAAATATTCGATTTGCTCATAACAAAATCACGTAATATTAAATGATATTATGATAATATATCTTAGAAATCTTAGAAAAAATAACATGAAACACATTGTGAAATTATACCTCATTTTGTGAGGTCATTTTCAAAATATGTGAAAGGATTTTCACAGACATATTAGATTAATCAAAGCCTTTTTTTAGTACATTTCAGTTCAATATCAGTTCAATTTAATATCAAAAAATCAATTACTAGTCAGGAAACAGGTTTATCATACTTCCGTAAACACGATGAATTAACACAAATCAGTTCAAACATATATTCCATATATACATGTATATATTTGTTATTTTGCTTTGTAAATGTGTTATGATCCAATGTTATGCTCTGTATGTCATTTGAAAGAAAGACGAATTAAAATCTTATCTTATCTTATCTTATATATATATATATATATACATACATATATATATATATATATATTATCTATATCAAGAGCATTCAGCCTCTTCCGGTCTTGTAGTAGACCTACCTAATCTGAAATATTGATCGTCAACTGTTTATGCTTGATACCTCAAGAATAATGCCATGTAGAATACGCGCTCAAAGAAATAGTACTTAAAGGTATTACAAAGTTTTGGTAAATTTTGAAAATTGGCTGGATAGTGATTCTTTACAATTTTTATATATTTGGATGCCCCTATGGATGTATTATACGCACTAAAAAATTAAGCCCCTAAAACTCTTCTGCTTTCGAGAAAAATTGAATATAAACATTTACCGGTGCTCCCGGTAAATGTTGATAAATTTGAAATAGCGCCTACGGCCAGACGATGGTAGCTGCGACCATAAAAATCTCAGAATATGCAGATCTGATATATATATTCCAAACAGTAATAGCAAATCGGTCGATTTTATTCAAATCACATTGTTTTATAGCTAAATTAATATGTTGACCTTGAGAGGGCGCTATACAACATAAATAGTTTATTATTTACAATTTCATCACTTTAGACTCGATTTCAACCGCGACAACGATCAATGAATATTGTAGGATTGCATATGCTTCCAATATCTTTATTTGAACCAAATTCATTACCCCATACAAAAACTTTGTATTACCTTTAATGATGCATTCTAAAAACTTTGGACAGTTTAACATGACCTACACCCGGGCATGAAGGTTCATCTTCTATACCACCGATCGTATCATGATTATGGCTCAAATGATATGGACAAATGGATTTTGAATAAAATGAAGCACAACATGGGACGGGGACGGGACGATTATATATGGTACATTGTGCTTTTAGAAGATTTATGGAAAATTAGTTAATGCCTGTGTTAGACTTACATATTAAACTTAAAATTTAGCATTCAGATTTAGCTAATATTGTCTTCAAATAATCTCTTTTCTGTACTAAAATATGAAAGTTATATAGGCCTTGTTGTTAAAAGCCCATCATCCTTTCTAGTTGTACACATATTAAAATTTTCCAATTATTTTACTCAATATTAAATGTTCTGTGATGTTTAGTTCGTTTGAAATACCTGAGGTTTTATGTTTAAGATGAAAAAAAGGGATAAACAAAAATATTATTAATAGGAAAAACTTCAAACAATTCTTAATGAAGTAGAGAGTAAAATTATAAAGAGGCACTTACATCCAAAGTCAGCATGCTGGCATATTCCCTCAGCCTCATCTTCACCATTGGGGCAGTCTCGGCTGAAATCACAGAGAAGTTGATGCCCAAGGCACGGGGAGTCAGGGGAACATTTGAAGCAATCTATTGGAAAGGGATCAAAACGTTATTAAATGCCGCTGCCACTTCAGTCAAAAAGTGAAGCCCGTTGCCACTTGAACCGAACATTAACGACACTTCATTTACAAAGCGTCATATACATGTCGCAAAATGCTCAAGGCGCTGAGTGTGTATATTTATTTGAACAAATATTTACTTGTATATAAGGAATGCTAAAACTTCAAAAAAAATACACTCGATTATTTGCTATTAGTTGCTTAAAATTTGCTATAACTATTCTCTGTCAACATGGCTAACAAACGCATTAAATATATAAAGAGGATTAAAAAGCTTAGTGGTCGTTCACATGAAACTTATATAGACTAGTTTCTTATTTTTATTAGGAAAATTGAAAATAAATCATAATTTTTTTCAATCCAACTTTTAAAAAAAGTATTAAAGGGATTGGGTATTCTAAATAAAAATAAACCTTTAGGTCAGTCAGGAATCCATAGAATTTTACTGATTATCAAGATATATATGACTGGAATTCGAAATTTCAAAAACCATTTTCCCAATGTTTTTAAAACACTACAGTTTATTGGCGAAAATGAATATGGTAAAACCGTCACTCATTTTTGGTAATTTATTTTTTAAGGCTTCAATGTTACACCATATCACATACACTGATAACGCTTGAGGCAATGCATCTCAGATTTGTAAAACTGGAAACATTTTTAAACAATACCTTTAGTAGGTCCTTGATTGAGAGTGTTTGCAATTATCTCTGAAATACAATACATCGTCAATTTTTTTGTTAATGTCTTTCTCTACAGCTACGATGAAAAAAATCGATAACATCATGTAAATATTGCATGTGTTGATAGAAATCACGCTAAATAAAAAAAAGTATTATGCACTTCTATCACGGTTATGGTGAAAAAGATTGAGATATACGACTTCAAATTTTGCGAGTCTTAGACAAAAAAAGACAAGTAACATATACAAAGGAAACATTGATAAAAAGAGTCAATAATTATGTTTAGGAATCTGTATGTAAACTTCGATAGCTGCAATAAATACGTACTGAAGAATAACTTGCACTTACAACGTTTGGCCTGAAACTCACGCCTATGTTTTTTTTTGTAATGAGGGAAAAAGTAATAGGACAATCTTTTTAAGCCAAGTAGACTAGCTCAGGGAGAGGTGGGTACAAAGAGATCGCGGTATCGCGTTTGATAGCGAGAGAGAGAGAGAGAGAGAGAGGGGAGAGGGGTGAAGAATCTTTAAAGAGAAACGTAGGTCAATCGCTTTAATGGGTTATTAGGACCTAGGCTATAACACTTTTAAACAACAACAACAACAAAGGCAGCAGCGACAACAAGTTAAACAAGATCATCAATAGCAACACTAAATATATGACCCGAAACTTTAAGCGAATTCCCATGATTTTTTTGTAACATTCGTATTATTCCTCAATCCTCTCACAATATCTGAACGGTTTAAGACTTCGCCCACATTTTGTCAACTTCAAATGGTTTTTTAATTCTTGCTGTGCCGATGATTATGTAATAATAATACCCATTTTCAATACTGTTCTTCCTTAGGGCCCTGGCATTTTTATTTCTTCAGTGATTACCAGATACTCATTTAAAGCTGGGTGGAGAGTGGCAAATGTTAATGTCTTGCCGAACGACGTTAGTGCCGGGCTGAGATTCGAACCCTCAACCCTTGGATTGAGAGTCAAGTGAATGAACCACTCTACCACGACACAAGAAAAAGAAGAAACAAAATTCGGTCACATCTTCCACCATCAAGAAGTTAGTTTTTGATGACCAATTTAAGTGAATGTTTATACAATATCTTCTCTCATTACGACATTAAACAATGGCAATGACTGATAAACAAAGAAGAAACGGACACGTAAAAGACCACATTTTGTCAATATATAGATGTGTTTAAAGAATCACTTACCAGCGTTCGTTCGTTGTCTCGGTCTCGCCCCGGAGATGAGGGCAACCAACCCAAGAAGGATCAAGACAGAGAGCTGAGATGTCATCGTCATTTTCATCTTCTCCTTTCAAAGCTCCTTTGACTGCAGCTAATAGGGATAACTGGAAAATCTTCTCAAGAGGGATGAAAGCTGAAGTTCTCGAACGAGTCTGACTTTGAGCCTTACGTCGACCACGATGCTAACACAGACAATGATGAGGGACGAGGAGACTGCCGGTGGTCGGAGCAAACCATATTTTTATACCAAATTTCTGGCGATCTGCGCGCGCATTCTTATTTCAATCTTGAGTCTTCCTTAGCCAATCAGAACAGATCAAGGGATCATCCTCTCATTGCAAGGTGCTTATGCTTCCACTTTGCTTTGTGACGTCACACCGTTTATTACCAGCGTGTTTCATTTGATTTATTCATTTTTCTTCTGTGTAGTTGCTCAAATGGGGAAACTGCAGCAACAGTTTGAAATATTAATCTTATTCATAATTCTGTACTGAAACCAAAATGAATTTCCTTTTTGTTTAATAGGACACCTTCAGGATGCTAAATATTATACACTTCCCTTCATGACGTCATTTGCATGCAGGACTGTGTTATTTGATTTTGAATGTTGTTAAAAAGGAGACATTATTTTTCCTAGAAGTATTTTTCATTCTGTATTGAAGATATGATTCTGTGAATTCCATTATCTCTCTCCACCATCCACTTCTTACCACGCTTTTTCTTGATATTATTAGCCATTATCATCGAACTGAGCCCCCTCCTCCCTGATACTGCCCCTTGTTCCATCCTCTTTTCCCCTCTCATTATAATTTCCCCCCTGCCCTTCTTTCTCTCTCTCTCTCTCTCTCTCTCTCCCTCCCTCCCCTCTCTCTCTGTGTCTCTCCCTCCCCTCTCTTTCTCTTTCCCTATCCCTCTCTCTCTCTCTCTCTCTGGTTCATCCCAACTCTCACACCCCTTTTCTCTTTTTTCTCTCTATCTCATCCTCTATCTCTCCGGCTGTTTTTCTCTCTGTATCTCTCTCGATTTCTCTCTCTCCCTCTCTCGTTTCATCCCCTCTTTTACTAATTGTCTATATTTTCTCTATTTTCCCTTCGTCTCTTCCTCCCCCTCACATTCTCTATCTCTCTTTCTTTCTCTCTTGTTCTTCCAATCTCTGTACCCATCTCTCTCTCTCTCTCTCTGCATGACATATTCTTTTTAATAAACCAAGTCATTTCAATTTGATTCAATTTATTTCAATTCATCTCCCTCTGTCTCACTCTCCCAGCACCCCTGTCTCACTCTCCTTGCACCTCTCTCTCTCTCTCTCTCTCTCTCTCCTTGCACCTCTGTCTCACTCTCCTTGCACCTCTGTCTCCCATTCTACACTTTCACATCTTCCCTAGCTCACATATAAGATCCCGGTAAGAATCTCAAGGCTTGACCCTATTGATTCGCTTCCCTTCACCGCAGGCAGAACACTCTGAATCCTCAATTACTGATGACATATATACATGTAATTAATTGTTGTTGGTATAGTTTTGTTTTTTTAAGAAATAAAGAATCGTGTGAAGGCCTAAAAGTGTTCCAGATTTCAGATTCAAGGTTTATTTCAAAACATTTCTTTGCTGCCAGATAGGTGAGTAGCGAAAGTGTTACAGATGAAAAACAAGAATAATGGTATACAAATGTTTAGTTACAACGAATATTTCGCACATAATCAAGAAATAATATTCAAATATAAATATGAATACAATTTAACATGCGATTGTGTTATGGTTCTGTAGTACTTGATTTAAGTCCAGATTTCGTTCTAGTTGTTGGGAGTGAGAGTTATAATTAGCATGATTAACGGGATGGGAAAATGGGAGAATAAAAACGAAATTTTCTCCACAGAAAAAAAATCTACGATCAAATATTTAGTTGGGACAGGAAGAGCAGAAAAAACGTAATGAATCAAAGAAGAAAAAAGGAAGGGGGTGCTATAAATGAAGAGGAGAGCAGAAAAAATACTGTTTGGTATTTCACGAACATTTCAATTACTGTTTAAGTCACAAACCTATTGTTGATGATATCAATCTTCATTAATTTTTTTAATTTGTATTCAGATTAGCAAAACACTCATTTAATGAAATAACAGAAATAAAGTAACAGGTTAGGTAGTGCTATGAGAAAAAGGACGGGGAACGTGGAAATCGGCTGAGATACAATTTGGAACTCCTAGCCCTTCTCCGTTCTTTACAAAGATGGATAGAAGTGTACGTTTTGTGAAGACATCTATAGAATATGCACCGAAAACCCAACAGATCGATATAATATTATATAGACGACAATAATGACTCTCTTTCTTCTTGTTTGAGGGGGTTGGGACCAGAGGCCTAGATGGCGTAGTTACGGGCGGGGAGGGGGGGGGGGGGGACTCGTTTCCTGATGAAATTACCCAAAATGCGGAGATAGACTCATATAGAAATATGATTAGAAAGAGAAAGAAAAGAACTCTTAGAGTGAACAAGAAACTTTTAAAAGGAGATGAAAGGTCTCCACCCTCACCCCAATCCAATTGCAGCCAGAAAGCTTGGCTGATGCCCCCCCCCCTCTACCAATCATAACAGTGCCCTCCCCCATTCTCTCTCTGATATGATTAGAAAGAGAAATAGAGAAAAAGAGTGAACAAGACATTTCAAAAGAAGATGGAAGGTCTCCACCCTCACCCCGATCCATTTGCAGCAATAAAGCCTGACTGACGCCCCCCTCCACCTACCATAACAGTGCACCCGCCCCCTCGATGGCTCGACCCACGCTACGCCGTTGTCTGTGACAATCTCCCTGAGAGGAAATTGTCTCAGGCCTGATTAATGAATAACAGTGATGACCGATGAGCAGAGATCAAGCTCTGATGGTGAATACAGATGAATCTATCCCAGCGGTATTCACACTCGAGTGAGAAGGTTGGGTTTGCCCCAGCCACACCAGTAGACTGATTCCATAACAAACCGATTACCTGGCCACTCGGGGTAATATATTAATGGTTCTGTCTGATGTCTGTCTGCTGTCGGTCACCTCGGTGCAACTGGGTTGTTAATGATCATAATAACAATCTGGATTTATATAGCGCTTAATATTGAGGGGAAAGATAGAGACTGAGGAGTGAATTTTAGTAGTGCGAAGAGAAGAGTGATGATACACATAAATGCAGTGAGAGAAAAGATGAAAGGAATCGAATAGAAAGAAAACAAGAGAGGAAATAGAGACAGAGAGAGCAACACACACAACGATGCACACGGATGGGAGAGTGTGAAAGAGAGAGAGAGAGAGAGAGAGAGAGGGGGGGAGCTACACATACCTGCACACGTATGGGTGAGTGGTAAAGAGAGAGAGAGAGAGAGAGAGAGGGGGAGAGAGAAGGAGAGCTAGAGCAACACACGCACAGATGCACACGAATGGGAGAGTGGGAAAGAGAGGGAGAGAAAGAAATAAAGAAAGAAAGAGAAAGGAAGGGAGAGAGAGAGTGAGAGAGGGAGAGAGAGAGAGAGAATGAGAGAGAGGGAGAGAATACAAGGTCACCTAAGCGCCTTTTTTTCTAGTCCATACCGGAAAATATGGTGGCCCTGAAGGGACATCGCGAATAGACTAAATCGTGAAAAATATGCGATAAAATTCACGATATCGTCAATTTTATCGCATATTTTTCACGAAGAAATTCACGAAATTGACGATATCGTGAACTTTATCGTGAACTTTTCACGATGAAATTGACGATATCGTGAATTTTATCGTGAAAAGTTCACGATATAAAGTTCACGATATCGTCAATTTTATCGTGTACTCTATCGTGTACTCTATCGTGTACTCTCCTGACGGGCGCTTCGTAAACAAAACCAGCCCTAGCTGGGGGAGACAGAGAGAAGGAAAAAAGGGAAAGGGAAAGAGAAGATAAAAGGAAAGAAAGAATAATAAGAAGAAAAGAGGGAAACGGGGGGGGGGGGGGAGGGGGGCGAAGGGCTCTTGCCTCCTCCTCACTCCCCCCCCCCCCCGCCAAAAAATAAATAAGGAGAGAGAGAAGGGAAAGGGAAAGGGAAAGAAAATATAAAAGGAAAGAAAGAAGAGGAAGAAGGAAAGAGGGAAACGGGGGAAGGGCGAAAGGCTCTTACCTCCCCCCCCCCGCCAAAAAAATAAATAAGAGAGAGAGAGAGAGAGAGAGAAGGGAAAGGGAAAGAAAGAAGAGGAATAAGAGGGAAACAGGGAAAGGGCGAAGGGCTCTTGCCTCCTCCCCCCCCCCCCGCCAAAAATAAATAAGAGAGAGAAGGGAAAGGGAAAGAAAATATAAAAGGAAAGAAAGAAGAGGAATAAGAAGGAAAGAGGGAAACGGGGGAAGGGCGAAGGGCTCTTGCCTCCTCCCTCCCCACCCCCCGCCAAAAAAATAAATAAGAGATAGAGAGAGAAGGGAAAGGGAAAGGGAAAGAGAAGATAAAAGGAAACGGGGGCGAAGGGCTCTTGCATCCCCCCGCCCCAAAAATAAATAAGAGAGAGAGAGAGAGAAGGGAAAGGGAAAGAGAATAAAAAAGGAAAGGAAGAAGAATAAGAAGAAAAGAGGGGCTCTTGCCTCCTCCCCCCTCCCGCGCCAACAAATAAATAGGAGAGAGAGAGAGAGAGAGAGAGATAGAGAGAAGGGAAAGGGAAAGGGAAAGAAAATATAAAAGGAAAGAAAGAAGAAGAAGACGGAAAGAGGGAAACGGGGGAAGGGCGAAAGGCTCTTACCTCCCCCTCCCCCCTCCCGCCATAAAGGGAAAGAGAAGGGAGAGGGAAAGAAAATATAAAAGGAAAGAAAGAAGAGGAAAAAGAATAAGAAAAGAGGGAAACAGGGGCGAAGGGCTCTTGCCTCCTTTCTTTTCTTTATTTTCCTTTCTTTCCTATTCTCCCTCTTTTTCGTTTTTCTCTTTATTTCTTCTCTTTCCCTTTCCTTCTCTCTCTCTCTCTTATTTATTTTTTGGCGGGGGCGGGGGGACGAGGCAAAAGCCCTTTGCCCCCGTCTCCCTCTTTTCTTCTTCTTTGTTTCCTTTTATCTTCTCTTTCCCTTTCCCTTTCCCTTCTCTCTCTCTCTCTGATTTATTTTTTGGCGGGGGGGAGGGGGGGGGGGCAAGAGTCCTTCGCCCTTACCCCGTTTTCCTCTTTTCTTCTTCTTCCTCTTCTTTCTTTCCTTTTATCTTCTCTTTCCCTTTCCCTTTCCCTTCTCTCTCTCTCTCTGATTTATTTTTTGGCGGGGAGGGGGGGGGGGGGGGAGTGAGGAGGAGGCAAGAGCCCTTCGCCCCCCCCGTTTCCCTCTTTTCTTCTTATTATTCTTTCTTTCCTTTTATCTTCTCTTTCCCTTCCCTTTTTTCCTTCTCTCTGTCTCCCCCAGCTAGGGCTGGTTTTGTTTACGAAGCGCCTGTCAGGAGAGTACACGATAGAGTACACGATAGAGTACACGTTAAATTGACGATATCGTGAACTTTATATCGTGAACTTTTCACGATAAAATTCACGATATCGTCAATTTCATCGTGAAAAGTTCACGATAAAGTTCACGATATCGTCAATTTCGTGAATTTCTTCGTGAAAAATATGCGATAAAATTGACGATATCGTGAATTTTATCGCATATTTTCACGATTTAGTCTATTCGCGATGTCCCTTCAGGGCCACCATAGGAAAAACTATTAGTTTTACTTTAGAAACACTTGATGGATTATGAGCCAACAAGTCTGAATGCAGGTAAAAATATCTTTTTGAATACCAAATCTTTTATGACCCGATCAAGCATGTACATTTATTTGTGAAGAGAGAATGAGGCCTTGCACCCCTTCGTTTTCAATTTCAATAGAGAATCGTTACAAAACAAGTTTGCGGTGATTGTCAGTGCGTGTGACTGAGGGGGAGGCCTGTGCATGTATAAATTCCCAAACGCCACGCCCTCATCATCGCTGTATACAAGGCTAACGTTATGAAATTCAGTTTCCATGTGCAGAATAATGATACTACTTAATTCGTTGACATCATACCTCGTGGAAATACCATATGGGGCAATTGATGAAATATGCAAGGCATTATATACGGCCATAGTCATAAAACCGAAGGCTAATTCTGGTGATTTACAACATCTGAGCCCACTATGCATCTGTAATATATAGTACGGACTACAAGTTCAGTATTGTAATCAATGGGAGTGTGCTTCGTGACAAATTACGATATCATTAGATGATTAGGCATAATGTATAAATAGGTCATTAGAACAGATCAAACAAAGGAATTTGCTTACCAGACCTGCATACACCATACAATCGCAGAAATAATGGGATGGGGGGGGGGGGGGGGGGGGTGAGGGGGATACAAATCATTTCCAATAAGCTGTTCATCAATCCAATATAAGAGTAGATGATAGGAGGATAAAAGGAATGTATGAGAGGTGTATGTGTTTCGTGATGTGAAGAGATGTTGATCTAGCTAAAGTCTTTTGCACCAGATGCGTCATTTTTGCTGACGGAGCACAACGTCAGCGGTAGGAGCGGTCCTGCAGCGATCTTTGACGCATCAAGTGCAACGACGTCAGAGAAAGTGAATATAAAAGAACAGATCACAAACTGCCTTGAAATTCCTTGTGTCTGTTGTGTGCCTGTACTGAATGCAAACAATACAATAATCTAAATGTCTATAACATGAACAGTAGAAGCTAAGCGAAGAGGAGGGCGACCTGCAATTCAATGATTGAAAGACATCTACACATGGATAGGGGAAAGCTGTCATTGGCAACAAGACCAACAGCTAACAGAGTAGGGTGGCATAGAATTGTGGTGGCCCCAGCAGCGCTACCTGACTGAAAAAAACTACATACGTTGATATGTATAATTATGATATGTTAAATTATGTGTGGGGGCCGACATTTACTGTCGCCATCAGAAATAAAAACATAACAGAGATTTAACTCTGGTCCATGTATGTAAACACTAAACAGACCATGCAGGGGGGGGGGGTGAAAGAGTAAAGAGAAAATATAGAACCGAAGACTTTGGATGGAGGGACAGGTAGGTGCCGAGTAAGGGAGGAAGAAAAAGACGCAGATGGTAAGAAAGAGATAGAAAAGGAAAAAGAGGGGGAGTTCGATATATAAGTGGCGATTAAACAAATAAAGATGTTGAAGCACCGGGGATCCTTCAGAAGACTTTTACTGATCGCATTGTTACTTTCTCTAAATCACACAATGAATACAATTCTTTTTCTTTCGTCAAGGTTATTCTTTTCGTCCGTGTAAACAGAGCGTTGACATAATGTTCGCACTGCGCAGTTCCGTCCCGTCGTGCTCTCTCTTGAGTGACCTCCATGTTTATCGATTTCACCGTGATACACACATGTACCCACGCACGCCCGCACGCACGCACTACATAAACCCACACACTTTCAATCCAGCGCTTCAAATCTATTCGCATCGCTCGTCTGCAGAAGATGTATTTTGCGACACTGCTTTTACTACTTCAGAATGACAAGCGAAGAGACTACACGGGTATGTAGAATTCCATCTATTGATACATTGTCATCATTATGTAGGCCTATCGATCATTCGTGATAGTTTTAGTTTTGACAGTACATTTGCATTTCTTTCAGTCTTTATATTGATTAGATAATCCCTTTTATTGATCTTGATGCATGTGAAACCGATGTGCATGTCTTGTAAAATGTAATATGTGTCCATGTGATGGATTGTAGCTGCTATAGTAATGGCAATACAAAATATACTTGGTTCTTGTTTTCTTGTCTCCAATTCAAATGAATTGCGTTCGACTATTTAACGATATTATGCATATGCAGTTTCAAAAGAATTGTCTATTTTCGGTCTATTTCTTCCACCGTTTTCTCCACCTGTCTCTTAATCCCTTGATCTCAAGATTTTGCCATAATCCTTTTAAAGTTCCCTTTCTTTGGTTTACCCCCCCCCCCTCCTCATTTTGCCTTTCTTTTGCCCTCTCAATATGCTTACCTATATTCCAAATATCTTTATCGATAATTACTCTTTTGGGATTAAGTTCGACTCTCTTCTGTTCTTTCCTAACCCTCACATTTTCCTCTTTTCCTTAATTTCTTTTATTTCATTTCTCTAATCTTCTCTCTCCCTACCTCTCCATGTCAAAATAAATTATGTATGTAATAATATCAATTATTTTCTCCCTGTATGCATACACTACTTATTATGTCTGTTCATTTCTGTGTGCAAGACAAAAACCTTCAATAGGCCTATATTATTTTCATCCCCCCCCCGCCTTTTTTTCCTCGGTAGATAATGCTGCCGTTTTCTCTTCATTTTCTTTATCTTGCTAGATCGAGCTGAGAGAGACAGTAGGAGAAGCAGATGGACAAACGAAAGCATCCCCTCTCCCATCGGGGCCCTTGCTCTCTAATAACGGGGGACCTGCCGCCGCAGAAAATGGCGGGAACTCTCAGAGGAATGGCGGATGTGAAAAGAAACAGACATTTAGCAAGAGGAGAATAAGGGTCTACAAAATCGTCTGTTTAACGTTGGCCATCGTTCTCATCGTGGTTCTCGTTATAAGTTTATCACTCACACTAAGAGGTAATGAATAATATGGCCGTATCATTTTTGATGTAATGAGGTTTGCAGCCATAATGCCGGGCAAAGAAATGGGAATAGTAATAAAGGTCGCGATTCAGACGAATTGTTTCGAAGTGAGGTAATAACAAAATAACTGGAAAAAGATTGCGCACGGCGGGGAAATAGGCATTATATTGAAAATATATAAAGACGATCGTAGGAAGACGATGTTCAATTTCACTTCATATTTTTCAGAAATATTGATAGTCTATCATTTTATATCAAATGCAGGAAATTGTTTTTTTTTATCAGATACATTGCAAACGAAACAGAATGATGAACAGTTGATTTAACTATACATTTTAGACATGATTTGTTTTATTACATTGTTATGATTCAATGGGAATGAAATATACTCTTAGTAAAAAGAGTGAAAGAGAGGTAAACTGAAGAAAAGCAATGTAAGAGAAGTTAAAAGTATCTGGCGAGAGTACAAATGACAGAAAATATATTTCAATAATAAGATAACTCGATATTGTATTTGGTGTAGAGTAATGAATTGTAGATAGGACTACCAAAACAAAGTTTGCTAACCTTCATACAACTCGTTTTGAAAGACAAGGAATGGCATGAGTAATTGACTTTATATATGCTGTTATCGCTTGCAGTGGATTTAGAATGAATCTAAAGGAAATTCAATACCGAAGTAACGAGCATGAATGACATGATTGTATGCCAAAACTCCACGCATCAGAAGCAGTAACAATGACCTCAGAATATAATCAGTATTCAGGAAGGAATAGGAAAAGAGGAAACGAATATATCTAGATAACATATGAACATCAAAAACAAACATCATGTACATAACATGTAGGAGATCTACATATCTGTTTTAGGACTGCTTGTTAATCATGTTGATTAGCTCGCCATGCTACTGTAAATGAAGGCTAGACTATTACGTAACAATGTATTGATGTAGCTGCAATGTTGGGAGAGGTGACAACTGTACTGAGGCAATAACACGCTTATTCTGACACACTAAAATGTGATATTATGTTATCAAGGCTTCCTTATACGTAATCTTCGAAGACACATTAAGTAGATCAGATTAAATATTCCATCTATTTCATATTTCATCTATGATTTTGTCCTCATATTTTTCTTCCCTAGGTTCGCTACATAAAAAGACGGGAGCCCGAACATCCACGGCCGCAACTTTGACAGAACGTAAGTATTGTCATCTTCTATTTCTCTCCACTCCTGGTTACACAGGTCAATCTTTCAATCTCAATGGACGTATCTGCTGAATACATGGATGTAAGGAGGTTGCATGAATTTGACTCCCGCCCCCCCCCCCCACTCAGAGGTCGGAATGACCGCATGCGTGTTGCCAAAATGTCCGGTAAAGGGGTACTTTTCGTGCGACAAAGTCCGGCCCGAGAATTTTAAAAAAAGGGGTGTATTTGACTTTTCACCCGGAGATTTCTTTAAAAGGGGGTGTTTTTCTTTTTTTCTCTCATATCTTTGGACTCCTGAGAAATTACTCCGAATTTTAGCAGGGTACATTGAGCATTTTTCCTGATTTAGGGGGGTCTCCAAGGCAGGAAAAGCCCGCGAAAAGCCCGCGAAAGGGGGGTTCGGAAATGTTGGCAGTCCTCAGATAGGTGGTGCTTTCAAAAAGAGGGTACGAGCATATGCGTACCCTAAATAACACTGAGTGGGGGGGGGGGGGCGGGATTTGACTCAGTAACCTTATTGAGGGTTGATCAAAAAAACTGCGTAATTTGTGGATGAAATGTTACCTATTATATTCCCACTCCTGTACTAACTCTCTAACATGCATCAAATACTGACAAAACTCCCAAACCACAAAGATAATTATGGTATTCTTTGAAGGCGTCACTGTACGACACCCTCTAATAGGAAATTATCCCAACCGTTTTTTCCATGAAAATAAGACATACGACAGGCTTTTAAAAATCTGTCAATACTTAAATGTCTGGAATGGTATATAGAGCCAATTAATTGCTTTGTGACGATTCACATTCACGTAAAACGTATTTAAATTGTAAGAGCATATTTCGAAGAATTAAGGAATCGATTATATCGGTTGTTCCCAATTTATATCATTAATAATGGTCTGTCTGTTTTCACTCAAACTGTTAGATTTTCTTTGATTGTACATCTTGCATTAGAGTCACTACCTTAGCACCATTAAATTTCATCTAAACAATGTTATAAAGTCCCTTGAATGCTCGACAGTATAAGACCGTTTATTAGTATACGGTGGTGTTTTTTAATATCTTCTTTTGAATCATGACATCACAAACGTTTCGATATTTTCCCCTGGTAGGCCAGTTTAGACATTTAACGAAATCACTCATGAACCTCCTAATCAATCATGATCACGCACACATCGACTGATATATGAACTGCTAATAATATTTTCAAAGGGAGTACGATGGCAGCTGTGACGCATTTTTTCTGTTTTCACCTGACTATCAGTGAATATGTTGCATAATCTGGTTGTGTTCGTATTTGTTAAGGTTCCGTTAGTCTCAGGAGTTTTTCGCTCACTTGAATGGTTTCTCTAAACAAAAAAAGTCGAGGTTTCTGAATAAACACAGAGTTAATATGATTAGCAATGTAATTTGTTACTATGATTTACCCAATGGTTTTTCAGAGTGAATATGTGATTTGCTGAATTGCATGTCTTTCTCTTTCCACAGCATTTTTTTAACCTTCTGATTCGATTTAAACCTCTCCTCAACTAAAACCCTACATTCTTCGTTTTGACAGGGGCTTTTCTTACGCCCTATAATGTCATTTATTTGAAATAATTATCAAATGTCTATTTAACACACGAGCTATTTCCTATAAGCGATAATTGCCTGGTAACTATCAATTTAACTTTTATTTGGCTTCCATCTAAGTATGGAAAGCATCTCATTAGTGTGGCCATGTTTTGTGTTTCATGGTATCTTCTCTATCATAATTTATAGAAACCTGAGATTTACTAAATTACAGTTAAATGGCAATAACATCAATGAAATTCAATTATCTTTTGGCTCCTCGTCCTCCATCCGTCTTCTTACGCTTAACAATATTTTTACCTGGAATTATCTCAGTTTAACTTATATTTGATATGCTTCTTGTACTTTTCTTTCTGAATGCACAAATTATTTCAATTATCAAACAACCTTGGTGTTTGTCTATTGGTATCTTCTTTGATAATATTGGAGAGAACATATTTATTCCTCCGATTGGTTGATCTTTAAGATAACAAAACTGCCTCACCTTACGAATCAATCCTTTTAGCATAATGGGTACGCACCACATTTAGACCACACGGCAGTCTTTATTATTCCATCTCTGTTTAAAGCGCATAATTGGGAAACCGTTTTCTAATTAGACCCGAATAATACTCCGCAAACAAAGAAAGGTTTTGAATAATCACTTATGCCTCAAGGAGGATCAATCTAATTTACTTAGTAGGTTTGCACATAATCCCTTAATTTTACCATGAGGAACACCACCTAATGAGTATTCCCACATCACATAAAGAAGTCGTACATTCGCAAGGTTGGTAGGCTTAACTAGAGCAGTCCCCATGTGTCCAATCAAACACTTCTACAGAAGAATCTTTATAAAGGCGAAGAGTAAAAGTCATCGTCAAATAAGCAGTAATTGGCTATGTGAGCACCCATTACAGGCCTGCTAACGTTGTTTGAACTGGAAGCCAAACAATTGTAAAAACATCTCTTCGCAAAGCGTGTTATGTTCTGACGATCATTACACGCTTCGGAAGACACGTGATAAGATCAGCCATATTATTGTCCCCTTTTCTCATGTAATCTGACAGTTTCGACCGACTGCAGATGACATGTTGTTTGATTAAGTATAAAAGAGATTCACATGAGTTAATCCTATCCGAGGCTGCGGTGGATACATTATTGTCACGCAAGACATTATCCTACTGAATGTGTTCGTAACAAGGTCAAACTTGTCAATGTAGGCGAGAGAAGATGTATGCAGTATGCATTACTGACAGATACAGGGAAAACAGGGGCGTACACCATTGGTTCACTCAATGAGGAGGGGGGGGGGGGTGCACAGGTCTTGTAGAGAAATGAAATGCGAATTAACAAGGCTAGTATTAACAGGAGGGAGTGTGGGTTGTTGTTGTTGGGGGGGGGGGGGAAGTTCTATCATCTCTTTCTTTCACGTCGCTTCCCACTTGTATATGCATTTTCCCGGTTCTTTCTCTCCTATATTTTGCTGAACGATAGGGGGGGGGGGGACGTCCCCATCTACCCCCGTATAAACGCCAACGACCCTGAAGAGAGTGGGTTTCTAGAATAATGATTGAATGAAAGGAGATCACAGATATTTCTTCTAGATGTATTCATACTTAGGATATAAAAAGGTGATTATTTCCTTTTACCCTCGACATGCATTGAAGCATTTTATGATCTTTGGAATGCACGGTTATGTTTTTAAAGAATCAAATAGAAACCTCATAACGACAATCTTATCACAGAATTAGAGACTACTCTCAAGCTATTGGCATCAATTCAAAATGTATTTCAATCTCCATTTCAAATTCCGCTCACTGCTTTCGAGACTTCATTTCGATTGTGTTATTACTTATGTTGATATGGTGTTTGCGTCAGTACTAATCGGAGCAATGATTTTACTGCTTAATTATCGTTCAATTTTGTGTCGTGATGTTACTCTCTTATCTCTTGCGTCGAAGACCACTGAAGTGGCTGGCGCATTCATACGTCAGCAAATAACGCCGCGTGTGCAACGAGTACAACCGGCAATTTAAAGGGGGCGTGGATAGCAAATCGCATTTACATCATATTAGTTGTCAAGGAGATATGTTTACGTTTATATAAACTTGGGAACTACAATTAATACCTAATTTAAAACGTCACCATGGTTACCTTGTTGATTGAATACAAATAACTGACAGGTTTTACTCAGAATGTCAAAATAATCAGCAGTTTGCTCTGTCAAACAAATATTTAGCTGCATTCGGCCTGATGTTACGGTATGACTTAGTAATTGATAAAAATGAATAGAATAATCACTTAATTGCACTTAATGATGACAGGGTCACATATTGATAGCCATGTTGACAATGTTTAAATCCTTTTCACCTTTTCAGTCAATTATCATGATTTATGTCAGCCAAGATAAGAGACAGATGAAGAAGACAAAATAGGGAAAAGAAGCAGAATAAGAAAGAGAAGGTGAGACAAGCAGAGGAAAGTCAAATAATTAAAGGCAGAGCGAAGGAGAGAAGCGGAGATCAAAAGCAGGAGAGGAGGGGGGGGGGGCGTGGGGGGAATGAGGCAGAGAGAAGGGGAGAGAAAGAGAGAAAGAAAGAGAGACAGACATATAAAAAAAATATACGAAATATAGACAGTGGACTCTTTATAGAAAGATAACGATGTAGACATTGACGGTAAGGAGAAACTGAGAGAGATAGAAAGAAATATACACAAATTATTGTTATTTTTTGCAACCAAAAAGTTATATTTAAAAAATATTAAAAACATATAGCGATACACAACAATCAGATAATGGTAGATATAGTTTACACGATAAACAAAGTGAGTGGTGCGTAAATAAATGAATACAGGTAACTATGTTGCGGTTACAATCAAATTATTTCACAGTATCAAATAAATGTTAGAGCTTAATTCAATTCAATTCAATTCAAATGAACATTTATTTTCTTCCATTCAATTTGACAACATATTTGACATCTGTTCAAACAATACAATTTATACGTAGGAACATAAATATCATCAAAGAACTTGTATTAGATGTTAACTTAATGTGTCCAATATTGCACAAAATATCAAAACTAGGTAAGGTATAATAAATATATATTACTGATAGTAAACTATCATGTACTTATTATTCAAATGGAAATAATAATTGATCAAAGATATAAAACAAAAATCACAAACACTATATAGAAACAGTTAATGCTAAAGGGACAGGGTAAAAAACATTACAAACAATCCATTCCTGAATGTATTTGCATGCACTGCGAATGTAATTTCAATTTTGAATTCATATTGAATAGTCGTAAATGTAATGTATGGGTATACCTCAACACAGCGACCAGGAAATACATACTAAAATGACTTAGATAATGCTGGGTGACGATGGCCTCTTCTTTAATGCAGTGGAGAGTGGAGTCAGCCTCGACTATCAGTCTCTCCCTTTATGTTTCCTCGATTAAACCTTCTATAACCAAACAGGAAATAATTTTTCGGGGAACTGGGTTAGAAATTTTTCTCCTTTCCGGGATGGTAACATCCTTCGTTTCACTTCACTGTTGAATTTTAGCGTCATATGCCATGTATTTTGCCATGTATTCTAATACATATAATTCAAAGTATTTGAGTAAAAATGACATAATCAAGAGAGGACCGGTAGTTATGATTTGACTTAAAGGTAATACAAAATGTTGGTATTGGGTCATGGCATCGGTTCAAATGAACATATTAGAAGTATATGCGATCCTACAATATTCAGTGATCTTTGTCGCGGTTGAAATTGAGTCTTAAATTATGGAATTGTAAATAATAAACTCTTTATGTTGTATAGCTCCCTCTTAAGGTCAAAATATTAATCAAGCCATAAAAAAATCGACCGATTGGCTATTTCCGTTTGGAAATTATATAACACAACTACATATTCTGAGATTTTCATGGTCGCAGCTACAACTGTATGGCCGTAAGCACTATTTCAATTTCAAAATTGTAAAGAATCACTATCTACCCAATTTTTAAAATTTCCCAAAACTTTTTATTACCTTTAAAATACTTTGATACTTAGATTGTTTTATCTCACCATCTTAGTGACGTGATAGGGTAAAGGTCGATTAGTTTTGCAGTTGTGTCTTTGATAACTTCCTCCCTCTCTCTCTCTCTCTCTCTCTCTTTCTCTTTCTCTTTCTCTCTCTCTCTCTCTCTCTCTCTCTCGCACTTCCTCTCTTTCTCTTTCTCCTTCTTTTACCCTCACATTTTCTTAGATATAAGGAAATATAATGTGCATGAAAATAAAACTACGTCAATATCAAATTTAAGAAGAACAAATACCTAAGTATACATTAGCCCTTTAGCAAGCAATACAATCAACATGTGGGCTCCTTAGTGAAGAAAATCTAAATCGGAAAAAAAAAACATAGTGGGACGTGGCGTGATCATGTATAGACTACCGTTTTTTAAATACAAAATTAAAACGTCAAAATCTATTCTCTTCCATATAAATGCAGAAAGCAGACCGTTCTCAACCAGTAGGCCAACTTACCAAACAGTACCTGCTATTATTCTCAATATAGGTAAGACGTATAATAATTAATGAACTAACAATTTTCGGCAGGTATCATCTTTTACATTCTTCCACTGCAATATTTACATAATTTGAGTTGTTCGTATTAAAACTGCTTTAAAACAATGCAAACACGTCATAGTATTTTACTTTTCAGATAACCTTAGTGTCCGTAAGTGACTAATTAATCGTTTTCATACTCAAGATTGTGATTAATCATTAAAACAATATTTCAATTTTCTAATGATCTATCATGCAACCTCGTTATATGTTTCAGTACCCTCCTTATTAAATAGTGTTTTAATTTGATCAGTACTGTCAAACAAGACATTATGAAACAACTAAGTTTAAGAATTTAAGCAGGAGACAAGACGTACAGAAGCTAACGTTGGCCGAGGCAAGTATACATCTATTACAGTTCTATCACTCATCTCATCTCGTTTTATGGTTCAGGATAGAACACTCCGGAGAACCATCATCAACAGGGCCATAAAGGGTCAGCCTTGAATTCTAGGACCACGACGACAATGTTTATTAAAGAGCCCGATGTGTCATGTACTTCATGTCCCCCTCCTTTCCACTTGTTCTCTCTCAGTATTTTCTATCCTTGTTGAAATGTCATGATATTGTACTTTTTTAAAATAATAATATTTTATTCGTCTCTTTTCCCCTTCTTGTCTGTATAGATAGTATATCCGTATCTCTATCTCTCACATTTCCATCATCGACTTACAAAGACGCCTACTCAGATCCTAACTCACCGGAATATCAAGAGATAGAGTCAAACTTTACTAAAAATGTAAGTAACAATTCGATATCCGCTGATTTTCAAAGAATTCAGCAAGCGTGACCCATCCCTCTTTTTACAGAGCAAGGTATGATAAGTTGTAGGCATTTTAAACGACAATGGGCACAATAATAGCTTACAGATAAATCAGGATGGATATCACCGATTTGTCACACTTTAAAAAACAAAAGTTAACTATTTTCTATGCTTACTAAACAATTTCTTTCAAGTCCACAAGGTCAGATAGGCTATATGGAGAAAAATAATAAGTCGGAATGTAACTGTTGTTATAAACTTCGTGCAGTTCCAAAGCAAAAGCCTCCAAAACGATTTTTACGCTGATAAATCTAAAATATTTTTTTAGATGTATAAACGCAAATCACATTACGACTTCAAATGTATAAATTCTTTACCGCTTAAACACTTCTTTGTAGGTCTATTAAATTGGTAATCCTAAAGTAGAAAAAAGATAGACTGTCGTAAGGTGCATTAACTCTTTCAACTAAAAATCTATCTTATTTTATTATAATGAGGAACTTGTAAATAAGTTGAGGTTTCGATGCCACTCGAGGTAGTGTGTTTGATTACATTCACTGAATTTACATTTGAATGCAGATAGATGGCGTCTTTCAAAATAGCGAATTTACATCCGTATATGACAGGGTAACAGTGGATGAAATAAGGTGAGTAGAAGTAGATTTAATTGCTTTCATGTCGTTTTACAGAAAACTTTTTTCTCCCCCGAGATTTGGTTTATCCGAATTTTGGGAATTCCGAAAATGTCTTTAAGTGGGAAAATAAGGACTATTAGTTGTCGAATCGACTTAAGAGCTATATACCGAATAGTATTATGCTGCGTTTTATGCTGCGCAAAGATTCAATCAGTTTAATTTTTAACAAAAAGTGGGTTATTGATCAGACAAATGCTCATGTACCCTTTACAGCTCATTTTATGTATTTTAATTACCAAAGAAGTAAAAAAAAAAAAAGCCAGTCAGTCACTCAATAGTGTCTGACAGTAAAGTTTAGCGAGTAAACAGGTTTTTTGGCATAATTTGAATATTAGGACACTGCTAACGTTTAAATTTCACAAATAGGACATATATGAAATATTCATAAATCCTGCAAAGTTCCACAGAATTTGTTGTTGGCTGCAAAAGGCACATAGTATCTTTACTATGTCTTAAACACGTATGTAAATTATGAATTATGAATTATTAACATGTTTATACAATAATGTGAGTATATTGCTAAGGCCTAAATTCAAATCGTAGTTGAATTCTTACATTTTCATTTCAAACGTGATAACATTATTTTGCAGATCAGGTAGCATCATCATTGATACAACAATCCATCTCAACGGTATACCAACCCATCTCCATGGCGACCTTGCATCAGTTGATATTGCTGAGATGGAGATGTTTCTTGGGAAGAGGGTGCAATCAAATTTAGAAGATGGATACCCGACTGATGATATATTACTTTTCAAATTAAATGGAGGTGAGTGGACAAAACCTGTTAAAACAGTTATATAATATAATAGATAACAAAGTAGAGGTGTCGTGGTCGAGTGGATACGTTGCCGGACTGTCGATCACAAGGTCCGCGGTTCGAGTCCCGCCGCCCCACTAATGTCCTTTGGCAAGACATTGATCTACATTTGCCTTACTCCACCCAGATAAAGTAAATGGGGACCTAGTAGGAATTTATGTCTTGAAACGCAGCGCGCGTAAAGCTGCATTGCTAAAGCCAGGGTAATTTTGCTATTGTGGAGCGCTTAGAGACTTCTGATAAAGTAAGTTTAGGCGCTATTTAAGCAAATATAATTATTACAATATAATATTTAAGAGCGCTAAAAAGCGATAGCGTTTACAAACAGGCCTAAATGAAAAGAGGACTAAAACTGTCATTCTCACAGAAAGTAGATCACATAGATCACTGGGGAAAAGGGCAAGTTTGGAGGGATCTTATGAAGGTGGCAAGACAGGTAATTTCCCTTATGGAAGTGTTTTCCAAGTCTTCTATGCGGTTACTGCAAACAGTTTTTCAGCTGATGAGAGTCTCGATTTAGGAATGAGTTGACATGTGTCGGTTGCTGAACGAAGATTACGAGATGGTGTACATACATGTATTTGGAGGGTGTCATTAAGATACTCAGGTGCCAAATGATTGAGTATTTCAAAAGCATACACACTGACTTTAAACAGAGCACGTTGTTGTAGAGTGAGAGGTATACGTTCTAGACTCAGTAATAGTATAAAGTATACAGTTGTAGTAGAAATACTTAACATTTTTTGTAATTTTTTACATACTCATTATTTCCTTATACTTGAAGTTTTCAATCTTTTCATTTTGAATCATTTTCGCATTTCGGCTTTGAGCCGCCCCGGATAATTTATATTTGCATGTTGATATAATCAACCTTTCATTGATTTGAATGAATAACATTTCACAAATATTATTAATTATGTTCGAACATTTCAGGGGCACTTCTATAAAAAAAAAATAATCTCAAATTCAAAACGGACAAGTGACTTGTATTTCATTTCTTTTAGGATAAGGAAACATATGTAGTTAAAAACAATTGTTTTTGTTTGTCATTGCAGCTAAAGTCAGCTCTCCATCTCTTTCAACAATAGCACAAGGTGGGTAGATGACGCCACACTGAAGACTGAAGACAAAATTGAGTACAAAATAAGATTTTTATCACCATGCATTAACATTTGTATTCCCTCCTCAGCGATCAAACATAAGCACAGTGTGATAGGACCTATACAAATTGGTAATACAAATATTGACCTTGAAATATATTTAAAAATTAACATTACAAACACATTAAGATTTTCAATGATTTTGCTTTCATGTGTATTTGAAATGGACATGGAATTATCTCAAAACGAAATGAACTGTGTAGGTAAAATAATCAACATAATACCTCATATAGACCGCCGGGTGAACCCTCAAAAGTGCCTTAGTTTTTGTGTTTTGTGACCCATGGTCGGCATCTACTTGAAAATAACCTCTAATGTGTAGAAAAATATACTGAAGATGATGGTGCAACTCGTCAGTAGAAAAAATTGCACACAAATTAATAATGTCCAGATTAATTTTTAATAAATATGACAAACGCCCTCTTGGGTCCATTCTGAGACAGCTGTGTATTATGCTATGTGAAAATGACTTGTATTGATATCGAGCAAAGCTGCAGTGCACTCAAAATATTCCCCTTTCCCTCTTTCCTCATTCCTTCCCCTTCTCTCTCTTTCCTAATCCCCCTCTCTTTCTCTCCTTATCCCCTCTCATCCCCCCACCCATTTTTCCTCATTCCCCCTCTCTCTCTTCGTCTCTTTATTCCTCTTTCCTCACCCCCTCTCTCTCCCTCACTCTTCATCCCATTCCCTCCCTTTCTCTTGTTTCCTTAACCGCTCTCTCTTTCCCATTCCCTCTCCCCCCTCACTCTTTCCCACCTCTCTATCTCTTTCTATGTCATACCCTTCAATATATATTTCAGGGAATGGCATATCTTTAAATAAAATAAATCACAATTTAAAACAAAGTTTGTAAGGCATGTTTGACCAATTATAATCTGGTTTCACATCAAATATATGACATATTACTATCTCACATTCTCAAAATACATGGTCAATAAAATTGTAAGCCTGCTTGACTACATGGATACTGCTCTTTGGGTTGATGTAGAGAAATGATTCATCATCAGTTATACAACACATTGTCAATTCACATTAAAATATTTTCAATAACAAACATTCTTTCAAGCGATCACATGTATGTATGTTTTAGCAAAAATACACATAAAATATACATTATAGATAAAAAAAAAATTATATATTCATGGATGGCAGGGTCGAAGCCTCTGCTATTCTTCTTCAGTTTATCTAAATCATGTTCTTTAACATTTCCAGCAGGTAATTTCATACATTTGTCCAAATGCCATTTAGTAAAAGTTATCTGCTTTATCGAATCTGGCGGAAATTGGCAAAATAGAGCATCGCAATAAAGGTCTTTACATTGAATTTCCAAAAAAGGCTTTACATTTACAAGTAATATTTTCAATAACAAACATTCTTTCAAGCAATTGCTCAAAAAGCATTACAACATGTATGTACCCGTATGTATTAGCAAAAACACACATAAAATATACATTGTAAATAAAATTTAAAAATTCATGGATGACAGGGTCCCAGCCTCTGCTATTCTTCTTCAGTCTAATATATCTAAATCATGTTCTTTAACATTTTCAGCAGGTAATTTCATACATTTGTCCAAATACCATTTGATACAAGTTATCTGCTCTATCGAATCTGGCGGAAATTGGCAAAAAAGAGCATCACAAGAAAGGTCTTTACATTGAATTTCCTAAAAAAAACTTTACATTTACAAGTAATGTGACATACAATGATTTAAATATTGTTCCTTCTTTGCCTTGATCTCATCTGTGCTCACTTGTTTGTTGTAATGTTGCAGAAGTGCCTGTAGCAGCCCGCATGGTATCCTGGTTGGACATACCTTTATTGAAAATAAATAAAAGCAAGGATCATTTAATATCATTTATTAAAAAAGAAGTATTCATCACTACAAAACCTACAGTATGAGTCGAATCTAGCATATAACTATCATCAAAATACAAATTTAAAAAAATATCTGTGCTAACTGGTTACTGTCTCTAACTGGAAGCGAACGGACTGGACATCAGTGACACTAGCAGTGGAAATTATTCAGAACTGCTTATTAGAAAACGTAAGGAGGTGTCTCATATTTTTATGAAATGTTTTTTTGTGTGTAGAGCATGGAGGGCATACGGTACTGTAATACATTTTTCATCATGAATAAAAAAGATCACCAGGGCAAGGGCAAGGCTCATTCTCCAACACAAGTGGCGTATTAATTTAAATGTGTCAAATATTGACGGGGACTGTGGGCCTCACCATGCAGAATTTTTCAAACAAACAACAACAAAAACAACCCCCCCCCCCCAAAAAAAAAAAAAAAAACCCACCAGTAGTGGCAGTACGCTGTTCTCAGACGATACCGTAATCAATATGTGGACAATAAATACCCACATTAATTATGAAGACCTGATCTGTACTAATGTAGTATACATGTAGAATCAAGCCTGTCCAGTATCCAATTTGACTTGATCAACCACTTTGATCAAGTCAGCTAGGCCTCAATTTCGAGAGCATAGCCTTTTTTTTAGAAAGTAGAAATTACCCGGTAGATATTCTAATCTAGATTCTCTTTTTTCTTGATTCTAGTTGTAACGTTTAGGGCCGGGAAATAGTCATATGACATCTAGAAGTAGAAGTAGTAGAAGTAGAAGTAGACAAAGATCCCGGGTTCGACTCCCACCCAGGCGGATGACCGAGGCCTGCGTTGTGTGTTAAGGTGCCCCTTCCCTTTTTAGACGCAGGTTATGTCAAGTGGAAAACACTCCGTCCCTCCGATAGGACATTAAATGGAGGCACGCTAAGAACCCATTGCACTATTCGTATAAGACTAAGACTAAACCCCGGTGTAATAAGTGCAAGAATCTTCACTTCAGTATTATTTGAAGGAGGCAAATTATCTCGAAATAGAAGAAGAAGAAGAAGAAGAAGAAGAAGAAGAAGAAGAAGAAGAAGAAGAAGAATAGGATCAGAGTTATTCTGAACATGCTGAAATAATTAATACAATCATTTCTTCGGAATGACATAGATCTAGGCCTACCTCTTTTTTGTTGAACTTGTTGCAGTTCGAACACGGCCTCCCTGGTACACTCCTCCGCGGCCGCCCGAGGCGCCGGGCGAGTACTGCTCTGTCTGCAGCTCGAACGAGTCGAAGTCGAAGTTGACCGCAATCGCAGCAATTTTGTTTTCTAGTTCAAACCCAAAACTGACGTCCTTCCAAAGATCTGCACACTCCTTGAATTTTCTGTAACTCTTCCCACTGAAAGATATCACCTTCCTGTGAGTCGAAATTGTATGCATACAGCAAAAACCTGTGTTTTCCTCTGAAACATTCAGTTGTTGACGACAGATTACTACACCTGAAGCTCGAAATAGCGCGCGCCAGTGGTACGTGCACAACACTGCCTGTGATTGGCTAAAAAGCTTGAAGCGCTGTAACCTTTACTTGATACATGCACAGTGATTGGACAACCTCCGTGAAAAAAAGAAAGATTTTAGGCACCTTTTTTTCATTTTTGAGCTTATTTGCATTTTTTTCGATTGACGAGTTGTGACTATAATATTAAAATATATTCTTTAATAATATCCACTATTAAGAAAGTAGATGCCGAGCCGAGGTCACGAAACTGACGAATTTTGGGGCTCACCCGGCGGTCTAATAGTTGTACAGTACTTATCAATAACAACTTTAAGATGTTAACATCACTGTGCATTTTAAAAACAATTATATAAGTCTTTCTTACATTAAAAAAAATATTGATCTTCTAACCTGATAATAGTAATAATGGCCAACCTGCTTTTAGAAAATGTACGTGAAACATGGTGACAGGTGAATATGAACATACACAAATAAATCGATTTCTTATTTGCTTTGCTTATTTAGAGATCACCATTCCTATAGTACACAATACTAGATGTTTCCAATGCTCGTCAAGCAGGGACTGTGTACCCCTGTCATGGGTGTGTGACGGCCATGCGGACTGCGATGAAGGCGAAGACGAGATGAACTGCCGTAAGTATCCTTTTTTAAAGCTCAATATTACATCAGTCACACCGCCCAAAAGAATCCAACATGACTCTAGACTAACTGATTTGGAGGTAGGGTGTTTTTTCTTTCTTCTCGTTCTCTTGTCGGTCTGGTATACTTTAAGTCAACGTGACTGACTGACTGACTGCTATATAAACTCGTAGTGAATCAGACTCCATCGAATCCATGCAGACACTTCCCCATTCGACTCGACTCGGATCGTTACCCCCAGCTGACTCGATTTGACTCGGGACTCTACCAGATATTGACTCGGCTTGATTGACTCGGCTCGACTCGAGACTCTTCCCGATAATAGGGACTTTTAGATTTGCACGACAAGACCGTGGACTGCCACGTGTGACATCCTTCTAAGGCAATGTGACGGCCTTTTAAGGCCCTGTCAGTGCCCGGCAGTGCCTTAAAAGGAGGTCACATATGGCAGTCCACGTTCTCGTCGTGCAAATTTAAAAGTCCCCATTAACTCGGCGTGAGTCGCGACTCTATCCAATATAAACTCGGCTTGAATCGGGACTCTATTCCATGTTGACTCGAGTACTCGACCACTCAATCTCTGCTTACTCGACTCGGGACAGTATGTCAAGCCAACTCGGCTCGGCTTTTGTCATTTCAAAGGGCCTTAAAATGACTTATTTTTTCCGTATTCTACTAATTCAGTAAATATCTAAGATTACGTTTAACAAAGATAACCTTAGTCATCAGACTAACTTTGTTGAATCCGATTTTGAACAAAAGCCTAAGAGCAGCGTCGGATTTAAAGCCTACCAGACCACAGGCTAATGAGTATACTTGTTTTGAATCAACAATTACTCCCGGACTCGAGCGAATAGACTGTTTCCAACACTGTTCCACAGTATAACATTCTATTATTGACTTTCCTTTCTAGCCTGTGATGAAGGCTTCCTATGTGGCAGTGGACTATGTGTGGATCCGAGTTATCGGTGTGACGGGTCGCCCGACTGTGATGAGGGGGAGGATGAAATGAACTGTAAGTCTTCGAATTTCAAGTTTCAAGTTTATTTTGCTACACATTTCACAAAAAAGAGTTTACATTATTTACAAAATTAGAACATAGTATGAAATATACTAAAGGTATCACATCATATAATCAATTCTTTGTAAACACGTGGAAATTAATTGTATTAAATCAAACGTGATTTTTGTTTACATTGAGAAATACTTCCAAACTGTTTTAAGTGGATACATTATGTTTCACTAGTCGAAATATAAATATATGCTTACCATTTAATGAGGGAAACTAAGAAAGATGTGAACACGCTTGAAGGTCTGATCGAAACGAAAGCCATACATGCACTTGTTAATGTTAATAATCCGCACAGTAGTACATAAATCAGCATACTTTAAAAGGAAAGTTGTCATAAACAGTGGTAACAACAATATTTTGGGCATTTCTCATCTGGATACGTAGCTCTTAATATTTATTACAAATCCCCGCTATTCTATTTCTTCCACTTTACAGGCACATGTAACAAGGTTACCGAATACCAATGTCCGTTCACCAATTCTTGTATTCCGAAGACCGCCCTCTGCGACTTCACTCCAGATTGCCTTCATCATGAAGACGAATCAGAAGATGTCTGCCATTTTGAATCATTTGCTGGTATTTAGTTTAAGCTCGTCAAGCCCCTGGCCCCCATTTGATTATTTTGTTTAATTATCAATGAATTAAAGCGGAGCACGTGTAGAGAACCAATGCAAGGACCCCCATTCAGCTCCAATAAGTAGCCCCCTCAACAAAACAAAGGTATCCTTTTCTACAACCGCACCGGCTTTTGTTGCTACGATTACTTTCTATAAATAAATTTGCGTTCCATTATACTTCTAATACGGTTTTGTTTTTTGTATAGGGGTTATGCCAAATGCACGTTCTCCTTGAATTGATGTCACTTGACACTTGGATAATTTAGGGAATCGACAGATACTTATACCTCTTTAGTGTAAACTCAAGCCTTCACATCATCCCGTGATGTTTGATATTGCTGCAATCAACCAGGCAGAGTTAATCACTCACGGTTCTGACTCCTAGAATGAATGAAACCTAAATTAAAAAAGGAAAAATGTCAGGAAGCAAAATTGTAATACACGTATTACCCATTTTATTACTTACCCTTTCTTTTTATCACAGAAAATGTGAATCTCACAATCGGCGACTCCCGTATCATCGGTCTCCCTATCCCTCTTCAAAAGACTGGATTCTTAGGCCCTGGCGCCTTTGGTCTTTGGTTCTTCAGCTCCCCCGAAGTTCCAGCCGAATTTCTCATCAACGTGACGGTCAGAATCACTGGAAGCGGCGCGTCGTTCCTCAAATTCGGGCGAGGTCTGAACGCAACGCGGGCTCCTCTGGCGGCTTTTACTGAGGCCCACGCTGTGAGCCCAGGTGATTTGAATCCATTCTACGCGAGGAACGACAATGTATGGGTGGTACTATACCAGAGCGACAATGATATCGTAGAGGGAGCCTTCAGTGTGACAGCGGTTCCTGCAACGGGTATGCTACTTTAATATATCAACCAGTTACTTAAGTTACTATCTCCCCTCCTTCCCTCTCCTTTACTTCTCTTCATCCCCCCTCTCTCTCTTCTCTCTCCCTCTCTCTCTCTCTATCTCTCTGTCTCCCTCTACTGTCACTTGTGCCGTTACCGTTGTACCATTTTTCTCTCAAATCTTAATCGAAACGTTCAAAAATGTAATACACTCAGGCGTCCTAAGAGTTCAGATTTATACGGATACCCATGTCTCATAATAACAGAGAGCCTAATGATGACTACTGGGATCGGTTTGCTAGAGAGAATGTTAGTATGGGTTTTGTGAGTGATTCTTCCGCATCGCTCTCTGTTTCTCAGCTTTCAGGATGTTAATAAAGAAGCATTAAGTTACAATTTGCACAAAGTAATAATTAGACCTACAAAGTAGACCTACAAAAGCAACTTACCAAGGGTACGATACAAATATACACGTCAACAAATATTTACTCTGCGATCAACACAGAATGGAAAGAGATGCAACTGTTCACTTTGGAGATCTAGCGGTTAAACCCTAGTTTAAATATTCCACACTTGCATTATATTATCACTCTAGGGTGCAAACTCAACATTCATTTGCCCTTAATTTCATTTTTAGGCATATTGGGCCCAGGCCTATAAAAAGATTTACGTCGCCTTCCTTCTGTTGAATATGCTAATATGCTCTTAAATTTATCCATTTCATTATATATGCATTAGTAAACATCTGAGAGTTTTATTGATAAGGAAAAAAGTGGAAGAATATAAAATGTTTCTTTGAAATGAAATGAATAATGTTAACAGGCTTACTTCAAGTCATCGGGTCATCGTGTCCGGTCGGTGGTTTCGTTACACGGCCTTTCGTGAAGAAGATCACGCGACCTTTCCTAGATTTTTTAAATAATTTCATAAAGTGTCGGGTTAATTGAACCAGACCATTTGTTGATGACGGGTATTTATTTCACAAACATTACCCCCGAAATGTCATGAACAACGGGGCATATTTTCACAAAAGGCCTGGTAACCCGACTACCCAACCCGACGCGATGATCCGATGATATGCAGTAATCCGTATTAACCATATTTATGTTTTTCTCATTTATTCAGATTGTATAGATGGAGAAGTGGCTTGTCAGTTCTCACCGGAGTGCATCCCTCCTGGAGGCCGTTGCGATGGCAACGAGGATTGTTCTTTCACCGGTGAGGATGAGACTCTCTGTCTCTTACCACTCAACCCTGATGAGATGAATAACTATTCGGACTACTCTAGCAACTCTAATTCCTTTAGCTCATCAGCATATTTTGGAAATTAACGGAACAAAATTGATTAATATTAATATCAATAATATTCCGCTTTTATATACCGCTTAATACATGATTACAGCATTCAGGGTACAGGATACAGGATTTCAGATAATAATTACCCCGGTCATCGAAGTATTCACATTCTTCACTCCGGTCGCATCTGCTCATCCAACCACATGAATCTTCGCATGCTACCGGATACCCATTTAACCCATGGATAGACAGTAGCAAGTGCAGGTTAATATCTTGCCAAAGGATATTAGTGCCGTGTCTGGATTCGAACCCTCGACCTTCGCATATCCAGTCAAGCGCTTTTAACCACTCGGCCACGACACTCCATGCACTCAAAAACTGTACCCTTTGGAATTTAAGGGATATTATTATGATTAAAACGAGGACGATGATGAAGATGACGACAACGACTATAATAGTGATGAACATTATAAAGAAAATAACAATAATTGTAGAGATAACAGTAACAATAATAATTTTTCTTTTATCAATGCTACTCTTTGATTTTGTAATACCAATCATTTCTTTTATAGTACGATTACAAATAATAATGATTTTTATGATAATGATGAAACAAAAAAAAAACTAAAATTATAATAAAACAACGATAGCGATTATGATAATAATGATATTGATAATATTAAAGTTGATAACACTAACATTGTTTTCTATCATAGGTCTTTATAAAAAAACACTGTTCTATTTCCACGTTCAAATGCGCTTTACAATGATTTTATTGACGGGATCAGTGACTTACGAACATTCAGCGTTGTTTGTTTTAATGAGGTGTGTTGCATTAGATTAATCATTACGTAATGATCCCTAAAAAAGAAAATGGACAGATAAATATAGATTCACTAACTAAGCTTTTAATAACAAATTGTTAAATAAAAGGATACAGTTTTCTATTGTTAACGTTGAATTTTTGTTGGCGCTTTACAATGATTTTAGTGACGGGATCAGTGACTTACGAACATTCAGCGTTGTTTGTTTTAATAAGGTGTGTTGCATTAGATTAATCATTACGTAATGATCCCTAAAAAAAGAAAATGGACAGATAAATATAGATTCACTAACTAAGCTTTTAATAACAAATTGTTGAATAGAAGGATACATTTTTCTATCGTTAACCTTTAAAAAAAATTGGGCATCAAACTGCGCATCTATAAACACATTTGAAGCTACATGACTATTATAAATGCACACTTCGTTTAATATATCAACCTCTATGATAAACGTAGGAATTATTCATATCAAACCAAAGAAAATATACAAAATAATACTACAATAGTTTCAAATACTTTAACAGATAAATTGTCTAAAACTTTGGTTAACGAATATCTCTACTTTTGATTACAGTATGCTCCTTACTCCATCTAAACAAGAAAAACTAAAAGATGGAACAAATATTTGATTTTTCTCGGGGGGGGGGGGTAGTGCCCAATGGCAAGCCCTCCATATAGCAACAAGAGATTTTACGAAAGTATAATCATCTTACCAGTGCCCTTGTGAGAACATTAACTTTGAATTAAAACCACACGGAATAACGCAAATTTCATCTAAGATCAGTAACTGTGATTGTAAAATGATAAACATATTAAGTACTTTACTATTGTGGTGTATATGTACAGTTTGGTGCGTACTCTTTAATGTATAATGGTTCATTGTTATTTGCATCTTCATTGTTCTTATTTCTAAATATCTTGGTATTTATAGCAAAAAAGAGAGGACGAAACAAGTTGACAGTATAAATAAAAAGTGTAAATATCTTTATAGCTCTTTCCCTTGCCTTTGTAGTGTAAGATATCGTCGATAAAACATTAAACGTATTTTTTACTTAGCTACTTTATAAAGTACAACCAAATCTATGAGTCAGACAATTTCTGAACACTTCATTTTCCAAATAGATTATATCAATAAAAATACCTTTGTTTTATCCTAATTCTTTAAAATGTAAGGCGATATCAAAAAAAAACCGCCAGATGTAGGACATTTTACTTTTTTGATCATACGAAAAAAAGAAAGACAAATACACTATTAAAGCCATACTTCACTACGTACAGTTACAGGCACCCTCTTTATAAAAATATAGACATTTCTCAAAACAAATTACATTGGATTGAACTGATTGATTTTAAGATGGAATTATCTATATCAGATAAATGTTTATACATTTAGTATGCTCCCCCCATCTTCCCACCCCCCTCTCTCTCTCTCTCTCTCTCTCACTTTATTTAATGTAATATGATGGTCCCCTCCCCCCATGATTCATATCCTACCCTATCATAGTTTGTTATGTTGGTCATGTCAGCATTCATATAAACATCAATCGTAAGCTAGCAATATTTGCGAAGAGCATATCTATTATAACCATTTATAAGCACCTAATTTAACTTACCTACAAAAGTGTGACTCTAAAAACGAAACAAGAAAAGAAAATAAAAATGACCAAATTGTAGTCTAGCCTATGGGGGGGGGGGGTAGGTTTGTCAGAACGCAGAACATCAATCAGGCCATACACATAAGAGTAGGGTGAGCCGTAGTTTATTGTGCACACAATGACGACAAAGATGAGAATGTAAAGTTCGGATTGCTGATGTACTGTAAGTCAGAGAGGTCTTATCTCCGTGTTGAATTTGTGTAACATATCTTTAGCTCTCAAGAGGAAAGGACAAGAGATACGGATGTCTGATGCCATTGCTATTATTATTTCCTTATTTTTAAAAATCATATTGTAATGAACATTATGCCAAATTATGTATATTGATGAAAACTATTTTAACTGCTAAGTGCTTTTTATGTAAATATGTTATTGTTCTAAATATATCTTTTGATTTTGTTATATCAGCGCTTTGATCATTTTTTTTGTAAAAGCGCTTAAACAAGATTCTATATTTGTTGTCATTAATATTACGAACAGAAAAGAAAACTCTTGCAAAATACAAGACAAAGGGAAAAACAATGCATCATGAGAACATGATAATTGGTCATGAATATAAATCATCTGTAATCCCATTATAATCGAACCATCTTATAATGTTTGTATCAAGTCCTCCTCTTTTAAGTTCGATATGTTCAACCCGTCGATTTCAACTATGCAAAAATACATATCTCAAATAGTTAAAAATGTATTATCCGACTCCTTCAACAACTTACACCCTAATTGATGATATACTAGGTTTACAGTTACATGTATTAACTTGTTAAAAGCAACCGTACGAACACATGACTCTTCTATCACTATTGGTAACATCGATACAATAATAATTAATTCAACTGTTTAATCCTTTAAAACAATCATGACAACAACTACGGTTTAGGCAAAACAATAACTGCATGATGTGAGATGTATACAAGAAAGTGTACAACACTTTCGCAGCTTCTTATTAACAGGTTATAACTTATGAGACCTTGAATCATATTTCATAATAAGGAGTAACTAATATCCTGTCTAATGTTACCATATTCAAAATTGTGCTGCCATGGACGGCTGAAGTGTTTATGATGTAATGATTTTATCAATATTCTGAATATATTTCTTGTTCAAGTGCGACAACTATTATACCCTTCTCCACAATTCTATCACAAAACAACAATTTGCATCTACTACATAAAGTGAAGTTCTAATGATAAAATGATATTATCAATATTCTGAATATATTTCTTGTATAACAGCGACGACTATTACACCCTTTTCTACAGTTTAATCACAAAACAACAATTGTCATCTATTACAAAAATTGAAGTGCTTATGATATAATGATATTATCAATATTCTGAATATTATTCTTGTATAAGTGCGACACCTAATACACCCTTATCCGCAATTTAATCACAAAACAACAATTTGCATTTACTACAAAAACTAAAGTTTTTATGATATAGTGATTTTATCAATGTTCTGAATATATTTCTTGTATAACAGCGACGACTATTACACCCTTCTCTACAATTTAATCACAAAACAACAATTTGCATTAACTAAAAAAAGGGAAGTGCATATGATATAATGATATTATCAATATTCTGAATATATTTCTTGTATAAGTGTGACACCTATTACACCAATCTCCACAATTCAATCACAAAACAAAGATTTGCATTTACTGCAAAATGTGAAGTGAGAATGAAATAATGATATAATCAATATTCTGAAAATATTTATCGTATAAGTGCGACACCTATTATACCCTTCTCCACAATTCAATCACGAAACAACAATTTGCATCTACTACATAAAGTGAAGTGATAATGATATAATGATTTTATCAATATTCTGAATATATTTCTTGAAAAACTGCGACAACTATTATACCTCTCTCCACAATTTAATCACAAAACAACAATTTGCCTCTACTACATACAAAAGTGAAGTGATAATGATATCATGATATTATCAATATTCTTGATATTTTCATGTATAAATGCGACAACTATTACATCCTTATGATAATGATATAAGGATATTATCAATATTCATGATATTTTTCTTCTATAAATGCGACAACTATTACATCCTTCTCCACAATTTAATCACGAAACAACAATTTGCATTTACTACAAAAGTGAAGTGATAATGATATCATAAATATTCATGATATTTTTCTTCTATAAATGCGACATCTAATACACCCTGTACCACAATTCAATCACAAAACAAAAATTTGCATTTACTACAAAAAGCGAAGTGCTTATGATAATTATAATGATTTTATCAATATTCTGAATATATTTCTTGTATAACTGCGACAACTATTTCACCCTTCTCCACAATATAATCACACAACTACAATTCGCATCTACTAGCAAAAATTAAGTGATAATGATATAATCAATATTCCGAAGATATTCATCGTATAACTGCGACACCTAATACATCATTCACTACAACAACAATTTGCATCTACTACAACAAATGAAATGATAGTGAAATAATGGTATTATCGATATTCTGAATATCTTTCTTGTATAACAGCGAAAACTAGTATCCACAGTATAATAACAAACTCACAATTTACATCTACTACAAAAATAAGCAAAGATGCAACAATGGAAAGTAATATTATTGTTTATCTACTACCAATGACACATACTTCAATCAGTGAGCAAATATCCTATAAGACATAAGACTACATCAATAATCATATGAACAAAGCTAGCTACTTGAAATATTTGCTTAAATAAACTCAAAAGCATCGATATGACCATTGTCATTTACAAACATATCCATGAAATGAAATATTTACATGAAAGCAAAATTATGCTTCGGTTACCCTCAGCAGTGATCCAGCTTCAACTACTAAATAACTGGTAGGAGTTACTCAATACAGGTCTCTTCTTAAATTTAAGACATACCTATCAACTATCTAGTATGGTCACTTTGCTAATACTACCTGCAATAATCGATTCTCCTCTAAACCAATCCACAATACATCTTTATTGGTGATATCATTAATGTACATAGTTGTAAATATCAATAAAACATCACTTGCGATACTAATGAACTGATTCCAACCAATGCAGGTTAAACACCTATAGTAGTCAACATCCACTATCAAAGTATACAAACTATGAAACAAAGCCATATGATGAGTAACTTTCAACAATGTGCTTCAATTTGTACCCTGTAATTAAATCACGCAGCCACATGCCACACTGAAATAATGAAATCACTTAAATAATATGACATTTACCACTGAAATTATGACATAATTCCTTTAAATAATCCATAGCAATATTACATTACATTATACTTTATCAAAGTGTCTATTCAAAGAGTACAACTTTATATACACTCAAGGAGCAAAATCCCTTGTGTTCAGCAAGTGTGCACTGCATAAACGATACATTGTCAATGTTAGTCAGTCATAGTGCGGCAAATTCTTGATCTTCATAACTTTTTATATTACACTTATTTGTAGTTATGGTTCTAGTAACTCTGCTAACGTCTACATTTCACAGATGGAACATACATGACATATTCATAATTCCTGCAAAGTTCTACATAATTTGATGTTGGCTCCAAAAGGACATAGTACCTTTAATAACATGCCAAATGAATTTTGAGAGTTTTCAACTCCTGTTTCCTTCCCTAATAACAATTTGACACTGACTAGTCTTATGTTAATTGTATTTCATGAATAAAATTCATTAGGTCACAGTCCTAGCTGTACTTTGTTATGCTCAATCATCCATTTCAAATAAAACTGTAAAAAGGACTAAGAAATTATATATTTTTTCCCTCCAGGATGAACATGTGTATTATTTGTTAGCAAAACATGATTAAAACAAGTACCGTGAAATCATGGTACTGAACGATAATTCTAGCATAAAGCTATGGTATCTAACCATTAATTAAGAGAACCACCCCGTCTGTTTCTCATTTTCAGTTCGCCATCGGAAGGTGATGCTGTCATCAGCTCGTTTGATGCATGCCTCAAGTATCTTCAGCAGAGCAATGTGTTTCTTGGAATCCATTTCGTGATTATCATATGTGTAATTCTCAATGAAGAACACACTTCCCTTCTCCATACCGGCACTGGTGATTTTTTTAAGGATCTCTTCGCGGTTAGTGATACTGTCGGCAAAAGTCACGACCATGATAGGATATCCACCTGTATTATGATAAAGATGATGATGATGATGATGAAAATATCACAAAGTATGTATTTATTTTAGAAATAATGAAACAAGCACTGATAACCAATGGAAGAACAAATAATAATGATACAAATATTTCATTTATTAACATATATTTAATCAGGATAACAAGA